CGCGTGCGCTTTCAAGTCAAAGGGTGCGGTTCGAATCCCTGCCCGGGGGAGAGGCAGCGCCACAGGTAGGGGCATCTTCACATAAGTCAGGGTGAGGCTGTCCGTTCCGCGCCGCCCTTCTCAAATGCCTTCGCTCAGCTTCAACGTGGGCCCTGCCGCCCTGCCGCCCTGCCGCCCTGCCCGGCCGCCCCCTCCACCGCGAGAGGTCGACTTCCCCGAGGGAAATCTGCCCTCCTGTCCTGCAACGAAATACATCCTCACACACTGGCGCGCACGCGCGGACGCACGCACACAGACAGCCCCCTCCCCTCCCCCTCGCTTTCTCAATGACGGGCAGCCCGGGCAGTAGCAGGCAAATGCCGGGGCCGCCGGGCGGGACGGGCCGGGCGTCGAAATTAAAACAGGCGACGCCGAAAAAGCGCCACTGTTGTCTGGGACTCCGAGAGTAGCTCTGTCTCTCTCGCAGCTATACGGGACGCGCCATGAGAGCGAGAGAGACAGAGCGACGACAAGGACTCTCGGAATCAGTCTGCAGGGACGCTGGGAGGGGTCGCCGGGGACATTAAAGGTGGCGGCACCAAGTCGCGCTCTAAAAGGGCGTCGTCGCCGTCGTCGTTCCGAGACTACTCAAGTCGGCAGCCCGTCGTCATGGCCCGCGCCGCCGAGGCCCTTACGGCGGAAGGGTGCCCCGGGGCCCGGGGCGCGTCAAGCCTCGCCGTCGTCGGCGTCAAGTGCCCGTCCCGGCCGTGGCCCTGACCGCCCTGACCCACGCCGTCGTCGGGCTGCCGCGACCACAGGTGGCCGCCGCGGCGGCGCCTTTCTGGAAGAAGCGAGAAAAATGAGGTTCGCGTCGCATCATCCGTTCCATTTTGCCGCCGCCGTCGCCGCCGTCGCCCCGCGGCCGAAATTGGCCCGGCGAGATGAGGCGCTGCCTTGGCGCTGCCGACGCCGCCACCTCGCACTTTGTTATCCCGCATTGTCCCTCGGCGGCCGCGGCCACAAAGAGTTCGCCTCGCCTTTGTTCCGCCGGCCGGCCTGCTTCGGGACTTGCATGTCTTCCGCCTGGAAGCACGGGAGGGGTCGAGCAGAGAAAAGGGGGGGGGGATGAGTTGGGATTCTCACGCCAACCAAATGAGGCCCGGAACTGCTCCCGATTCCTCCAGGAACAAGCTGTTGGGGTCAAGATTGGGGTGGTTCTAGTTGATCCGAGCCTGCTGTACCGGAACCGAGGCTGGGACGCCTCGCGCGGGCCTCTCCAAGGCATCCATAAAAGACGTGAGGTCGAAGAGGGGATTCGGTCTTGCTGTATTATGTACTGTTGCAGGGTTTACCCGCCCCAGCGAGGCGAGGCGAGGCGAGGCGACCTCGGAAAAACAAGTGCGGTTACGGTGTGGCGGTCCGGCGAGCCGCAACCGGCTAAAAGTTTCAAACTGCTTACCCGTGCCCCCCATCCCCCTGCAAATTATTTAGTCAACAAAGTGTCGGTAAATTTCCCCCCTCCAAGTTTATGTACTCTTTCCGAGGGTGCTACACGCCGCACTGTACGACCTCGTCGTGAAGCAGGCATAGGCGTACGTACAAACGCGTGCCCCCTCGCGCATTCGTGGCCCCATTGTGAGCGCGGGAATATTAAGAGAAAGAGAGAGGGGGAGGGGGAGGGGAGGGGGAGAGAGAGCCCCTTCCCCCATGCGCCCGCTGCACAGGGGACAAATACCGCAATCGGGAAAGTTGCTCGGCGAAACGGCGCGGCCATGGCCATGGGTATATAAACGCACGATGCAGGAAATTTTCTGCCTCGTGGAACGGCAGGCGGAGCGGTGCGGGCAAACTCGGGCATACCGGTGCAGCGCGCAGTGGGCCGTGCGTGGCCGCGCGGCGCAGCGGGGCCGATTTGTCTAGCTGCGCTGGTCCACGCGGCACACACACACACACTCGCAGACTCACACGCACACGCTGACTCACCCGCCGAATCGACGCGCCGGGTAAATTTTTAATGGCCTTGGCCGCTGAGGCAGCTAAGCTAGTCTGCCGGTGAGTAGCCGCCCCACCAGGCGGCCGCATGATCTGGGGGCCCGCTTTCTTTCCCCGCTCCTCGCCGCCCCGGGGCCGTGGGGCCGTGGGGCCGTGGGGTCGTCGGTGCCGTCCTCGACCAGCAGTGGGGCCCTGGATCTCGGCTTAGGGGCTAATTGCACCTCGTCCGCCCCGGGCCCGGCGGACCCCGGGACCGCCCTGAGGCTCGGTGACGAAAAACGCCAAAAAGTTTCGGAAAGCGTGCAAATGAAGGGATCAGAAAAAATCTCATTCAACGAACGTTAATGAAAGCAGATGATCCGTCGCGTTTCACAACTGCTGTGATAGCCGAGAGGTTAGAGACGTGGGATCGAGTTACCGCAGGCCGGCGTTCAAATACCAGCGTCACAAAAGTTTTTTCGACTTGCTGTCCTACGGGTGGTGGTTCGAGGCCATCCGAGCGGAGCCGTGTGCAACAGACCCACATGCCGGAGGTTCGACTCCTAACAAATATTTCCATTTAATTTTACTGCCTCACCCAGTGCGGTTGAAACCCGTGAACGTGAGCCCGCTCTGTGCATGGGACGTGGTGGTCCAGGGAGTAGAGGCGTCGGTTCCCAATGCTAGGGTCGGCGGTTCGACTCCCCCAACTTCTTGCGAAATTTTGACCGGGTCGGTCGAGTCCTGTTGCGTCAAGAACCCACCTCACGCCGGCACCCTCATCATGGGCCGTGGTGGCCGAGAGCGTAAAGTCGTGTGATCCCGGTGGCGGGGTCCGGGGATCGAATCTCATCATTTCGTTACATTTTTCGACTGCCTTCCTCCCACTGCAACTCAAACCCGTCGTCCAACACGCTGCCAGACGTACAAGCGTGATAGCGTAGTGGTCAGAGTCACATTCACCTGGCCACTCCGCTGTGGGTGTCTAAAAAGCAATCCGCTTCGGCGGGTTGGCCTCGGCACTGGAGCGATGGAGTATTTGATCCATCAATCCAGACCATCCGGTGTGTGGTTGCGGGTGGTGCCTCCTTGACTCGTCGGGGAGGCGATGATAAGTCCTTTGAAGCTGGCCTAAAACGCTGTATGTTCGGTACGGGAGCGCCGGACAGTGGGGGTACCATGGGGTACACAACCAACCCTACGAAAACAAGAAGCTCCCACCAAACCTCTTCTCTGTCTGAGTCTCTCTCTGTCTCTCTGTCGTCTCACTCTACGTCCCGCCCCTCAAAGAGCTTCGTACTGGGTGCTCTCACCCAGCTGCCTGAGCTTTGGGGTCCTACTGGGTCCCCCGGCGAACGCTTAGAGTCGCTGACGGGATTAACCCCAGGTACCTGATAGCACCGGTTCCCATCCCGAACACCGAAGTAAAGCAGGAGGCCTCCCCATTAAGACTGGGGAGGGGGTGTAGAGTTCAAATTTTTTTTTTTCCCCTTTCAAATTTCTCAGTCAGTCATCTGCTAAAAACAGTGACGAGCGGAAAAGAGCTCGCCGCGTCGCCCTGCCGTAGATAAGCTGCCGCGGCTTAAAGGTTAAATGGCGGAGGCGACGGCGGGAGCTGGGGGCGACGCGACGCAGATAGATGATGGACGTTGTGGGTCCCCTCGCCAAATTGGCGGGGTCAGCGCCGGTCACAATGCGGCCCGTGACACGCGGCTAAACCACCGAACGCCCACCTCACCCCGCCCCGCCCCGCCCCGCCACGCCCCGCCACGCCCGACTTGCCGGCTTTAATCATTACAGCGCTAATTGCGGCCTCTGTGGTCGACCGACAAGTCGGCCGAGCCTTGGCGGCGCGGGGCGGCGGGGCGGACGGGAACGGGGAGGACGGGGTCGGGGTGGGGCTAGTTGTCGTGGTCTGGAGGGGGAGGGGCGAGGGGTAGAAAAAGAGGCGAAACACAACGGGCCGAGCCAACATAGCCAACAGTGCCGCAGTGTCCCGCTCCCCCTCGGCGTCAGCAGGTGACTGGTGGACTGGTCCACTAGCGGGTGCGCCGCATAGGCCGAATAGGCGTGCGGGTGTGCGAGTGAGACGGGATGCGGTGTGTCGGGGAGATGCGGTGCGGCGAGTGCTGCGGGGCCTGCCTTGGGCCTGGCTGGTCTAGCGTCTAGCCCTGCAGACTGATTCCGAGAGTCGTTTTCGCCGCTCTGTCTCTCTCGCACCCAGGCGGGACGCCCCGCGAGTGCGAGAGAGACAGTGCGACGGAAACGACTCTCGGAATCAGTCTGCGGGGCCTTGCCGGACTGCTGGCCTTGCCGTGTTTGCCGAGGGCGTGTCCCTGGCATGCCCGTCCGCCGCGCTGCCCCCCTGGCTGCCCCCTGGCTGCCCCTCTGGCCCACTGGCGGCGCTCTGGCCACTCCCCGACGGCGCTCTTTCTTCCTCTCGTCTGTATCGTCGCCTCCCGCCGCTTGGCGCAGCGTAGTGACCCCTGCCTGCCTGTTGTGTTGCAGACCGAGGACTGAGCCTGCATGGCGCGGGGCCGGTGGTCGTCGGCGGGGCCGCGGGGCCGCGGCGGCCGTGCCCTGCCGCCAGTCCGGACATGAAGCCGCGGGGGCCGCGAGCCATGGCCCCAGCCGCGGGGCCCACGGGGGGCGGGCAGGGGCAGGCCGTCGGGCAGGCCCCCCTAGGGGTACCCCGCCCGTAGCGCGACATGGCGCAGGCGACCCAGCATGACGAGCCCATGCCTGAGGTGAGTTTCTCCTTGACGGTTCATCGTTTGCTTGCCGTCCCCCGCGCTGTGACGACGTCCCTGTTGCAGGCGGAGATCCTGGAGGCCACCCCGGAGGCGGTGCAGCGATGGCTGGGGGACCGGCCGGAGGTGCTGGAGCGGGTGCTGCGCACCGCGCCCCAGGAGCTGCTGCAACGCGCGCTGGTCAGGCTCGGCCCGGAGCGCCCGGACCGCCAGCGGCCGCCCGAGCAGAGCGTGGCCCGCTTTAGCAGCGCGGGCAGCAATGGCGACGGCGGCGGCAGCGGGGGCCGCGGGGCGCCGAGTCCGGAGCAGAGCAACAACGGGGACGTGGTTGGCGCGGTGCCCCCGGGCGCCCAGCCGTCCCAGACCCAGGCCGCCAGCGTGCAGCCCGGCCGCGCCAAGAGGAACTCGGTCACCTCGGACCTCTTCCAGATGTGGCTCGGCGCCTCCCCCATCAAGCGCGCCAAGTCGCCCAGCAGGTCAGTACGTCAGTCCGAGGTAGACAATGAAAAGACAATGAAAAATCTGGAATGGGGAAACCCAAGCGGTTGCAGCGGGTTGCAGTGATCGTCCTGCCGCGTCCGCGGTCCGGGGACGTTGTCCGGGTGCGTTGTCCAGGCCGCGCACCTGGCCGCGCACCTGCACTGCACACGAGGCGCTCGTCAGCTATTCATGCGTCCAGGCCGGCGGCGTGTTTAGGCGGAGCAGGGGCGGCGGTGAAAATGGGGAGGGGTGGGTATGGAGCACGGCCAACCCCTCCAGTCCAGCCAGCCCAGCCAGGCCGTGGGCTTGTCCGCCACGCAGGCTGCTTTTGCATTGCAGAACAAAAGAGCCCCCCGGACGCTTGCCAGCCTCGCCTGCAGCCTCAGTCCGAGAGTCCTCTTCGTCGCTCTGCCTCTCTCGCACTCGTGGGTGGATCTTCTGGGTGCGAGAGAGACAGCGGCGAGGACGACTCTCGGAATCGGGTCTGCGGGGCCCGGCCGGCGCTGCGGAGGTGATGGCGTCGACGGGATGCCTTCACGCCCTTCCCCGTCCCCTCCTCGTCCTCCGCCTCCGCCGTCACCGCCGGCAGCGCGCCCATCCCTGCTTCATTGTCTTGCAAATATTTAAAGTCACCCTCCGCGTTTACGCCTCACGGACGCGCTGTTGTACGGCTCGTGAGTGTGTGCGTGAGTGCGTGTGAGCGCGTGAGAGCGTGTACGTGTGAGTGAGCGCTCCCCGACAGCCCCATCGCGTCTGGTGCGGGGCGTGCGGGGCAGGGCGCGCATGCGGCGTGAAAGGCCGGCTCCTGGGCGTGCTCGTCGTCGTCGTCGTCCTTCGCCCCGAGGCCCGAGGGGCCCGAGGGAGGGAAGGAAGCCGCGAGGGAAGCCGGGTAGAAGAGAAGAGCGCCCCGAGATAAAAGAGGATCGGATCGGTGACGCCGTGCCGCGCCGTGCCGCGCCGTGCCGCGCCGTGCCCCACCGCTTGTTGTGCGTGCCGAGTCGGTCCGCGTCAGCAGATGTGCCTGCGGCTGGAGCCCCGCCCCGCCCCGCCCCAGCCTTTCGCGCGGGCCGCGGCGCGGCGGCCACCACGCCCGGATGGCTCTGCCCCGCTCTGCCCCGAGCTCTGCCCTCAAATTGGCGCCGCGTAAGCTATTCGTACGGAACGCGCTGAAACAAGGTTTGCCGCCGTGAAGAGCTCCTAGCGCCCCCGCCTCCCTCCCCCGGAGTACGGCCACGCTACGCCGCCCAGCCGGCAGCGCGCTGCTCGGCGCTGCTTATTCTATGCAAAACCGAGGCCGAGGCACGCCGAGGCACGCGCCCTTGGCCGCCGCGCCTCGCCGCGCCGCACCCCGCCCTGCGCGAGAAACGAATCGCAGACTGTTGCTCGGCGACTCGGCGCCAGACTTCCCCCGTTCTTTATCTTTATTATTAGGAAATGCGTTGCCGGCGGCGCTTTGGGACCGAACCTGGGTGAAATCCCTCCCTCTCCCCCCTTTCCCTTTTCCCCTCGCAGCGCGCGGCGCGCCGAGGGCCCCCGCGGGGACTGGCCGCGATGACCCGCCCGCGGCATGGCGCACAGCGCGCACCGCGCAGCCCGCCCCACTGAAAGAAAAATAATTGCGAAACCAGCAGCGGTCGCCTCGCTGCTCCGTTTGCGTTTGAGGGACGGCGTCCCGGGCGGCGGGGCGGCCGCGGCCAACGAGGCCAAAAGAGCCACCAAGCAGTTCCCAACCTCCTCGGACTCGCGACCGGTAATGGCGGCTGAAAATCGTCCCGACCGCGGGGCCAAAATTATTCGCCCCCTTCCTTCGCTGGAAAAATATTTGCTTTCGTTAGAGACAGACGACAGACTCTTTTCGACCAAATTTGTGAGGTTACTGGTCCCAAAATCGTCGTCGGTTCGAGACGAACCGTTCAGTAGCGACAATGTTTAGAGTGAAGGCGACCAGGGTGGTGCTGGAATCGCATTCCGTTTCGGCGCCACCGTATGCTGCGTGTCCGTCGGCCGGTCCCGCGTCTGTCTTCGGGCCCTTTGGGTCTTTGGCCGCCCCCTCCTCCCTCTCGGAGACCCGCTCTCCCTCCTGTCCTCCTCCTCCTCTGCAGACTGATTCAGAGTCGTGTTCGTCGCTCTGTCTCTCTCGCACTCGTCGGGCTCCCCGCACACGTGCGAGGGAGACGGAGCGCCCGCCCGCCCCGGCCCGGCCTTCTGGCCTCACGTCGCGGACTGCTTGTTCCTTGTTCCGACCAATGAATAATGCAGACAATCCACGGACGCTGCGCCGCTGCGCCGCTGCGACGCAGCGAGGTGTGCGCCTCGTGCCTCGCGCCAGCCTCGCGCCGCCCTGGAGGGCCTGGAGGGCCTGCAGGCCGACTCACCGTCTCTCTCGCACGGAGGGGCCGGCGGAGGGTCGTGGTGGTGGCCTTGTTAGGGCCCTGGCCTAAGCCGCGGCCGTATAACTCCGGGCTCTCGGGGCGGAAGGCGGCAAGGCGGCAAAGGGAGAGGCTGTCGATACCCCGCGCCGAGATTGGCTGGACTTAAGGCCGTAGAGCGGAGAGCCCCTCGCGCGCGGCGTATCGACGCACCGATTCTTTCTTTGAACTGATAAGTTGCCGTACTTAGGCCCGGCACGGCGCGGCCGCCGCTGGGTTGGAGCAGCCCCTGGCTGGGCAGCCCGGCGCACTAAAAAGATTAATAACCTACGTAACTGTGGAGCGCTCTCTCTCCGTTCGACCCCTCAAAGCTGCGCGTGTTCCAGGTCCGTGGGGATGGGCGAGCGCATGCGCGCGCTGCAGCAGCTGGACGAGCGGGACCTGTTCATGGAGCTGATCCGCGACGTGGCCACCGAGCTGGACATCGACGTGCTGTGCCACAAGATCCTCGTCAACGTGGGCCTGCTCACGCACGCCGACCGCGGCTCGCTCTTCCTGGCGCGCGGCTCGCCCGACCAGCGCTACCTGGTGGCCAAGCTGTTCGACGTCACGGTCGAGACTGGTGGGTGTAGCGCCTTCCCTTTCAAGCTTCTTCCCAGCGGCCTTCAGGCACCTCTCTAACCCTCCCATTCCTTGGTCGCTTTTCAGAGCTGGAGGAGGCGCTGGAGAAGGCCAGGACCGAAGAGCTGCGGATCCCGTTCGGCACGGGCATCGCCGGATGGGTGGCGCAGAACAAGGAGGTCATCAACATCACCAACGCGTACGAGGTAGGGCGCCGCCCCGTGGCCTGGACCCGCCTCCGTCCCCAAGGACACAAACGCGCATCAACAGTGCCGTGTGTCGCCGCCCCCGCCGCCCCCGCCGCCCCCGCCTCGCGGACGGGCCTCCAAAACTTTCCCAGGGCCCCGCCCCGCCCCGCCCCGCGCCACACCAAAGCCTGGTCCAGGCAACACGAGCGACCGTGGCGCCGCTCACGAGGACGTCGTCGTGCGGCTGCCGGCCGCGACGTCCCGCTGGTCCCGTTGGTCCCGTCCACCCCCTGTTTAGCGGGCAAGCGCGCGTGGCCGCCACGCCCCTCGCCCCTCGCCCCTCGCCCCTCGCCCCGCCAGCGCTATTTATAGGCCGAATTTTGTTTGGCAAGGCAGCGAGGCGAGGGGAAGGGGAGGGGTGACAGTGTTCCCACACGCTCGCCCCGTGTACACGCGTACTGGCGCGCCGCGCCCATCAGAATCAATTAATTAAATTAACAGGCAAGCCGGCGGCCTTTATTTGCGGATAATTTATCAGCAGCAACGCGCGAAGGGCCTGGAACCCCCGCCCCCCGCCCCGCCCTGCGTCTCGGCGTAATGGATGGCGGAGTAAGCGGTTCTGCGGGCTGCAGCGCGGCCGCGCGGGGGCGGCGACGTGGAGGCGGAGGCGGCGGAGGCGGCGGAGCGGCGAAGGTCCAGCAGCGCGGCCGGCGGCGCGCCCCGAAAACGCGCCAAGACGGTGGACGGGACGGAGTGATAAGGGTGGGAGGGGAGGGCAGGGGGAGGTCAGGTCGGGCGGGGTTTCGTTTTGAGAAGCTCCAGACAAAAAAAACCACTTGGTCGGCGACATCCTAGGAGCGGGCGCTTGTGGTGTTTTATCGGTTCCTTGTATGTATACGAACTGCCGAAAAGACACTTGGACGAAATCCGACACCCCCTGTGGCTTTGGTACGGGTCTGAACACCCCAAAAACAGCTGTTTTCGAGGGTTTGGGACTAGATGGGTTCTCGCAAACCGAGATCCAAAAAAGTACCCAAATGGGTCTCAGATACTCAAAAAAATGCGCTCTTTCGAATGCCGTGTCGAACGAGGCTCTACGACGTCGGGTTTGGATGCTACGGGCTCTCAAAGTTGCTCAATTTCACTATTTTTACTGAAGATTTGAGCATATCAGGGCCGTTTGAAGTAGACCATCGGCGATTTCGCTCCTCTTTGTCTTAAATGGTGCCAACCCATAGGTAAACACCCCCACAAAAGTTCAGCCATGTCAGGCAATTATTAGAGGAACTGTGAACAATTTAAGTTTTGGGTCATTTTACCACTAGGCTTAGGTAGTTTTGGGTCCAGAAAAATAATTTTTTTAGCTATCTACTTTTGATTAGCACCTCTTGAAACGCCTTTTTAACATGGTGCCTCAAAACTTTTATTCGAGGACAAACTTGTCTTTTTCTAGCTGTAATTGGAACATAACTTGGAGATACGGCTTTTGGTCTGCCTCATACGGTTTTTGATTTGCCGCATACGGTTTTTTGTTTGCCCTATACGGCTTTTGGTCTGCCTCATACGGTTTTTGATTTGCCGCATACGGTTTTTTGTTTGCCCTATACGGCTTTTGGCCTGCCTCATACGGTTTTTGATTTGCCACATACGGTTTTTTGTTTGCCCTATACGGCTTTTGGTCTGCCTCATACGGTTTTTGATTTGCCGCATACGGTTTTTTGTTTGCCCTATACGGCTTTTGGTCTGCCTCATACGGTTTTTGATTTGACGCATACGGTTTTTTGTTTGCCCTATACGGCTTTTGGTCTGCCTCATACGGTTTTTGATTTGCCGCATACGGTTTTTTGTTTGCCCTATACGGCTTTTGGTCTGCCTCATACGGTTTTTGATTTGCCGCATACGGTTTTTTGTTTGCCCTATACGGCTTTTGGTCTGCCTCATACGGTTTTTGATTTGCCGCATACGGTTTTTTGTTTGCTTTTTTCTGCCTCGGTTTTTATTTGCCGCATACGGTTTTTTGTTTCCTATGCTTTTGGTCGCCTCATGGTTTTTTTTCCGCATACGGTTTTTTTGCCCTATACGTTTGGCTCCTCATACGGTTTTTATTTGCCGCATACGGTTTTTTGTTTGCCCATACGGCTTTTGTCTGCCTCATACGGTTTTTGATTTGCCGCATACGGTTTTTGTTTGCCCATACGGCTTTTGGTCTGCCTCATACGGTTTTTGATTTGCCGCATACGTTTTTGTTTGCCTATACGGCTTTTGGTCTGCCTCATACGGTTTGATTTGCCGCATACGGTTTTTTTTTGCCCATACGGCTTTGGTCTGCCTCGTTTGATTTGCCGCATACGGTTTTTTGTTTGCCCTATACGGCTTTTGGTCTGCCTCATACGGTTTTTGATTTGCCCATACGGTTTTTTGTTTGCCCTATACGGCTTTTGGTCTGCCTCATACGGTTTTTGATTTGCCGCATACGGTTTTTTGTTTGCCCTATACGGCTTTTGGTCTGCCTCATACGGTTTTTGATTTGCCGCATACGGTTTTTTGTTTGCCCTATACGGCTTTTGGTCTGCCTCATACGGTTTTTGATTTGCCGCATACGGTTTTTGTTTGCCCTATACGGCTTTTGGTCTGCCTCATACGGTTTTTGATTTGCCGCATACGGTTTTTTGTTTGCCCTATACGGCTTTTGGTCTGCCTCATACGGTTTTTGATTTGCCGCATACGGTTTTTTGTTTGCCCTATACGGCTTTTGGTCTGCCTCATACGGTTTTTGATTTGCCGCATACGGTTTTTGTTTGCCCTTACGGCTTTTGGTCTGCCTCATACGGTTTTTGATTTGCCGCATACGGTTTTTTGTTTGCCCTATACGGCTTTTGGTCTGCCTCATACGGTTTTTGATTTGCCGCATACGGTTTTTTGTTTGCCCTATACGGCTTTTGGTCTCCTCATACGGTTTTTGATTTGCCGCATACGGTTTTTTGTTTGCCCTATACGGCTTTTGGTCTGCCTCATACGGTTTTTGATTTGCCGCATACGGTTTTTTGTTTGCCCTATACGGCTTTTGGTCTGCCTCATACGGTTTTTGATTTGCCGCATACGGTTTTTTGTTTGCCCTATACGGCTTTTGGTCTGCCTCATACGGTTTTTGATTTGCCGCATACGGTTTTTTGTTTGCCCTATACGGCTTTTGGTCTGCCTCATACGGTTTTTGATTTGCCGCATACGGTTTTTTGTTTGCCCTATACGGCTTTTGGTCTGCCTCATACGGTTTTTGATTTGCCGCATACGGTTTTTTGTTTGCCCTATACGGCTTTTGGTCTGCCTCATACGGTTTTTGATTTGCCGCATACGGTTTTTTGTTTGCCCTATACGGCTTTTGGTCTGCCTCATACGGTTTTTGATTTGCCGCATACGGTTTTTTGTTTGCCCTATACGGCTTTTGGTCTGCCTCATACGGTTTTTGATTTGCCGCATACGGTTTTTTGTTTGCCCTATACGGCTTTTGGTCTGCCTCATACGGTTTTTGATTTGCCGCATACGGTTTTTTGTTTGCCCTATACGGCTTTTGGTCTGCCTCATACGGTTTTTGATTTGCCGCATACGGTTTTTTGTTTGCCCTATACGGCTTTTGGTCTGCCTCATACGGTTTTTGATTTGCCGCATACGGTTTTTTGTTTGCCCTATACGGCTTTTGGTCTGCCTCATACGGTTTTTGATTTGCCGCATACGGTTTTTGTTTGCCCTATACAGCTTTTGGTCTGCCTCATACGGTTTTTGATTTGCCGCATACGGTTTTTTGTTTGCCCTATACGGCTTTTGGTCTGCCTCATACGGTTTTTGATTTGCCGCATACGGTTTTTGTTTGCCCTATACGGCTTTTGGTCTGCCTCATACGGTTTTTGATTTGCCGCATACGGTTTTTTGTTTGCCCTATACGGCTTTTGGTCTGCCTCATACGGTTTTTGATTTGCCGCATACGGTTTTTTGTTTGCCCTATACGGCTTTTGGTCTGCCTCATACGGTTTTTGATTTGCCGCATACGGTTTTTTGTTTGCCCTATACGGCTTTTGGTCTGCCTCATACGGTTTTTGATTTGCCGCATACGGTTTTTTGTTTGCCCTATACGGCTTTTGGTCTGCCTCATACGGTTTTTGATTTGCCGCATACGGTTTTTTGTTTGCCCTATACGGCTTTTGGTCTGCCTCATACGGTTTTTGATTTGCCGCATACGGTTTTTTGTTTGCCCTATACGGCTTTTGGTCTGCCTCATACGGTTTTTGATTTGCCACATACGGTTTTTTGTTTGCCCTATACGGCTTTTGGTCTGCCTCATACGGTTTTTGATTTGCCGCATACGGTTTTTTGTTTGCCCTATACGGCTTTTGGTCTGCCTCATACGGTTTTTGATTTGCCGCATACGGTTTTTTGTTTGCCCTGTACGGCTTTTGGTCTGCCTTATACGGTTTTTGATTTGCCGCATACGGTTTTTTGTTTGCCCTATACGGCTTTTGGTCTGCCTCATACGGTTTTTGATTTGCCGCATACGGTTTTTTGTTTGCCCTATACGGCTTTTGGTCTGCCTCATACGGTTTTTGATTTGCCGCATACGGTTTTTTGTTTGCCCTATACGGCTTTTCGTCTGCCTCATACGGTTTTTGATTTGCCGCATACGGTTTTTTGTTTGCCCTATACGGCTTTTGGTCTGCCTCATACGGTTTTTGATTTGCCGCATACGGTTTTTTGTTTGCCCTATACGGCTTTTGGTCTGCCTCATACGGTTTTTGATTTGCCGCATACGGTTTTTTGTTTGCCCTATACGGCTTTTGGTCTGCCTCATACGGTTTTTGATTTGCCGCATACGGTTTTTTGTTTGCCCTCTCCGGCTTTTGGTCTGCCTCATACGGTTTTTGATTTGCCGCATACGGTTTTTTGTTTGCCCTATACGGCTTTTGGTCTGCCTCATACGGTTTTTGATTTGCCGCATACGGTTTAAACGCGCGTGTGTTTGCGTTTGTGTGTGTGTGGTGTGGACACCATTAGACAAAGAGGAGCGAAATCGCCGATGGTCTACTTCAAACGGCCCTGATATGCTCAAATCTTCAGTAAAAATAGTGAAATTGAGCAACTTTGAGAGCCCGTAGCATCCAACCCGACGTCGTAGAGCCTCGTTCGACACGGCATTCGAAAGAGCGCATTTTTTTGAGTATCTGAGACCTATTTGGGTACTTTTTTGGATCTCGGTTTGCGAGAACCTATCTAGTCCCAAACCCTCGAAAACAGCTGTTTTTGGGGTGTTTAGACCCGTACCAAAGCCACAGGGGGTGTCGGATTTCGTCCAAGTGTCTTTTCGGCAGTTCGTATACATACAAGGAACCGATAAAACACCAAAGCGCCCGCTCCTAGGTGTCGCCGTACATACGGTTTTTGATTTGCCGCATACGGTTTTTTGTTTGCCCTATACGGCTTTTGGTCTGCCTCATACGGTTTTTGATTTGCCGCATACGGTTTTTTGTTTGCCCTATACGGCTTTTGGTCCCCCCCCCCCCCCCCCCCCCCCCCCCCCCCCCCCCCCCCCCCCCTATACGGCTTTTGGTCTGCCTCATACGGTTTTTGATTTGCCGCATACGGTTTTTTGTTTGCCCTATACGGCTTTTGGTCTGCCTCATACGGTTTTTGATTTGCCGCATACGGTTTTTTGTTTGCCCTATACGGCTTTTGGTCTGCCTCATACGGTTTTTGATTTGCCGCATACGGTTTTTTGTTTGCCCTATACGGCTTTTGGTCTGCCTCATACGGTTTTTGATTTGCCGCATACGGTTTTTTGTTTGCCCTATACGGCTTTTGGTCTGCCTCATACGGTTTTTGATTTGCCGCATACGGTTTTTTGTTTGCCCTATACGGCTTTTGGTCTGCCTCATACGGTTTTTGATTTGCCGCATACGGTTTTTTGTTTGCCCTATACGGCTTTTGGTCTGCCTCATACGGTTTTTGATTTGCCGCATACGGTTTTTTGTTTGCCCTATACGGCTTTTGGTCTGCCTCATACGGTTTTTGATTTGCCGCATACGGTTTTTTGTTTGCCCTATACGGCTTTTGGTCTGCCTCATACGGTTTTTGATTTGCCGCATACGGTTTTTTGTTTGCCCTATACGGCTTTTGGTCTGCCTCATACGGTTTTTGATTTGCCGCATACGGTTTTTTGTATGCCCTATACGGCTTTTGGTCTGCCTCATACGGTTTTTGATTTGCCGCATACGGTTTTTTGTTTGCCCTATACGGCTTTTGGTCTGCCTCATACGGTTTTTGATTTGCCGCATACGGTTTTTTGTTTGCCCTATACAGCTTTTGGTCTGCCTCATACGGTTTTTGATTTGCCGCATACGGTTTTTTGTTTGCCCTATACGGCTTTTGGTCTGCCTCATACGGTTTTTGATTTGCCGCATACGGTTTTTTGTTTGCCCTATACGGCTTTTGGTCTGCCTCATACGGTTTTTGATTTGCCGCATACGGTTTAGAAACGCGCGCGTGTGTTTGCGTTTGTGTGTGTGTGTGTGTGTGTGACACCATTTAAGACAAAGAGGAGCGAAATCGCCGATGGTCTACTTCAAACGGCCCTGATATGCTCAAATCTTCAGTAAAAATAGTGAAATTGAGCAACTTTGAGAGCCCGTAGCATCCAAACCCGACGTCGTAGAGCCTCGTTCGACACGGCATTCGAAAGAGCGCATTTTTTTGAGTATCTGAGACCTATTTGGGTACTTTTTTGGATCTCGGTTTGCGAGAACCTATCTAGTCCCAAACCCTCGAAAACAGCTGTTTTTGGGGTGTTTAGACCCGTACCAAAGCCACAGGGGGTGTCGGATTTCGTCCAAGTGTCTTTTCGGCAGTTCGTATACATACAAGGAACCGATAAAACACCACAAGCGCCCGCTCCTAGGATGTCGCCGACCAAGTGGTTTTTTTTGTCTGGAGCTTCTCTTTGCCGCCCCCCGCCCCCTCCGCCTTCTCCGCGCCGCGCCGCGCGGCTCGAGCTTACTCTGTTTGTCCACGGCAGATTGAGTTCCCTTTGCGGGATCCCCGCCCCGCCCCGCCCCGCCCCGCCCCGCCATGGTTCCGCGGCGCGCTCCCAACCTGCGGCCGCTAAGCCGCACGCCCATTCATCGCCTACCGATGATGTCCCTCCAGAATCTTATTTTTTTGCCGGCCGCTGCAGCGCCACGCCAAGGACTCTGTCTCTCTCCCTTCCGCGCGCCGCGGCACCGCTGTCGTTATACCGCCGTTTTTGTCGGCTTGTCGGCCGGCTCAACCCGCCGCGGTGGCCCGCGTGGCCGTTCTATTTTTCGGTCAAGTGTCCCTCGCGTCCTTCGTGCCTCGTCCTTCTTTTCGTCCTTCCTCCTCGCCGTGCCGTGCCGCGCCGTGGCGGGCCATGAAAGGGGCTAAAAGCCTGGCCGGGAATAAGAGACAAGCAAGATGGCGTCGCTCCCCTTCCCCCCTCCCTCTCCCCCTCCCCTCCGCCGGCCCTCGCACGCGCCGCGCGCCCCACTCCGACGAAATGGTTGCGGAAATGGCATTTGGCTGTTTCATCTTCATCGATGGGGATGGCATGACGGTTTGTTGGAATCGAATGACGGAGGCGAAGTCCCGACCTCTGGCTTTGCTGCCTTTGCCGCGCCGCCTTCCCGTCGGCCGCCCCGACCAGCCGGCCGTGTGGGTCGAGTGAGTGCAGAGGGCCCTGGACCCTGCCCGGCCCTGCCCGGCCCTGCCCGGCCCTGCCGCCCTGCCGCCCTGCCGACGGCGTCCTGTTCCAGTCGACCGTCGGCACTCGTCGAGGACGAGGAGGGCGAAGGGTCATGTCTCATGAATTCTGACACAACCCGGCGGACTCTTCTGTCTCCCCCACCGCACCGACCGACCGCACTGGTCGCGGCTCTCTATCACCAACGGGGCCGAAAACTACAAACTCGCACTGCGGCAGCGGTCTGATTCTGGCACACTCATGGAGCGTGCCGTCGGGGTGTGAGAGAGAGCAACGAGACGACGTCCCTCCGGAAGGGCCGCGAAAGCTGAACATCCAGTGGCGCGGAGAGTGTCGTCGGCACCTCGGCGCCGTAAGCCCCAACTTTCTGCTCCTCAAGAGCGGCCCGCTCTTCCCCTCCTCGCCGAGGCCGGTGCCTTTTGGCCGCTCCGGGAATGCTGCTCGCCGTGCCGCCGTGCCGCCCTCCAGGCTACCCGGCCCTGGCCCGCTCAGTGAGAAGCGAATTCCACTCGAAACTAGCCAGGGCGAGCCGAGCCGAGCCGAGCCGAGCCGAGCCGAGCCCGTGGAGGGGGCGGCTCCTAACCACGTCCAGCAAACAAGCTATCGTCGAGAGGTAATCTCCCTCCTCTCCGACGTAAGGAGCTCCAGGGCAGGGCGGCCAGACTCGCCAGGGCAGGGGGAGGGGGTCGCGTCGCTGCTGATGTAGTGCGGCGGGGTCGGGGAGGTCTTGGGGGAGGTCGTCACACCGCGCGGGAGTGGAGAGTGGAGGCGGCCAGAGGCGGCACTGGACCGGCGGCGACCTCATCGCCGTCCGCGGGACCGTCCCCGGGACCTTCCCGAAGGGCCGAGGGGACGAGGACGAACGGCCGAAGGGAAGGGGCGGCACTGGGCAGCCTTGAATATTAGTTTGAGAGGTCGTAAAGGGGCCCGATGGACCGACGGACTCCACACACGGACATAGAAACACACACACACACAGCGTCCCTGGCCCGCTTCGGGGCGGTGGGTGTGGACGTCAGTATTGGGTCCCGGACGGCCAGCCAGCCAACTCGCCAAGAGATACATGGGAACGTTCAATGGGCCGCTACTTGTGGCACTGCGGGGAAAGAGGGAAAAAGGAGGGGGGGACTAGGGTCGCCCGCTCCGCCTCCGTCGCCCGCGAGGCCGCATTCGACTACAGATGCATGCTTCGAAACGCCGCAACGCCGCAGTGTGTTGCAGCGGGGCCGCGCCGTTTTCGATTCAATCCCATTCAATCCAGGGGAGAGCGTCATTGTGCCCCTCGAGGAGCCTCGGCCCCGCGCGCGCAGACCCCGCGAGGGGCCCCAAGCCCCGCGGAGCAAGCGGAGCAAGTAAAGCCAGCCGCAGTACAACATTCGGCGACCGCGACTCGCGCGCCGCAGCACCCTCAAGTTGGACCGGACGGCTGAGTCGTAGCGCAGCATAGCGCAGCATAGCGCCCCTTGCCGTCCCGCGCCCGCCCCGCTCGCTGGCCGTGGCTTGGCCGTGGCTTGGCCCCGAACGACCCCAATCAGAGACGAGGGAGAAGGAGGGGCGGCCGAGCAGGCCAAGCAGGCCCCGATCCTCGACCCGAGCCGTGACTTATCGGAATACCGGATTTCGGCAACCACAGCCACAAACCTCCACACGGCGTGCACCCACTGATTTCGCAGCCGAAATTCGCATTGGCAGTGTGGTGGCGGTGTCGCTCACGACGTCGGCCTTGTTGCTGCAGGACCCGCGGTTCAACAGCGACGTGGACATGCGCACGGGCTACAAGACCAACCTCATCCTGTCCATGCCCATCTGCAACCACGACGGCGAGGTGATCGGGGTCGCCCAGATCATCAACAAGACCAACGGCTCCGACGAGTTCACGCCCAAGGATGTGGAGGTGAGAGCGCGGGGCGTCCGTTTTCTAGTGTACTGGCGGCAGCAAATTCACTCCAGGTTTTTTGTCGTTTCAGGTGTTTAATAAGTATCTTACGTTCTGCGGCATCGGTCTGCAGAATGCTCAACTGTTTGAAATGTCCGTCCAAGAGTTTCGGCGAAACCAGGTTCGTTCTCTCAAAATACTCTGCACGGTTTTATCTTGTTTTTTTTGTTGTTGCGTTTGATTACGTTTTCCTCGTTTTTCTACCTCTAATTTCCAGATTCTCCTGAACCTCGCCCGCAGCATCTTCGAGGAGCAGAACAACTTGGAGTGCCTCGTGACCAAGATCATGACCCAAGCCAGAGAACTGCTCAAGTGTGAGCGTTGCGCGGTTTTCCTGCTGGCCGTGGAGGACGGCGGCGAAGAGGTACAGTCCGACCTCCGAGGAAAACAAATAAAAGAGGAATGAAAAGGCGAAATTATCGTCCGACTTCTGCTTACAGGGCCACTTGGATCGCATTTGTGAGAGGCCGGGGAAATCTGTGGAAGAAAGAAGACCACTCTGCAGGCGGGAGGTACTAACGAGGAAAACAAAAACAAAAACAATACAAAAGGTCGAAGGAAAAATGAGAGCTCGCTGACTTGACACGAATGCCGTTCTGTTTCTCTTTCCCGCAGAGCAACAACATCGACATCGAGGACATCATCGCTCAAAGATCGACAGACAAGGTACGGTATCGATTGGATCGAATGGCCAGCCCTCCGCACAGTGGACCAGAAGGCCGGTGGAGGCAGTTGTAATCCCAAATCCCAGACGCGTTTTGAGCCCCAGAGTCGCTAAACAAGACTCAAACCGAACGTGAATAGATTTTGAAGCCATGTTTGGTGGGCGCGTTTTTCCGCCAGAGACTAACGGCGTTCGGTGGTTCGTTGTTGCAGAGCATCGTGTTCAACACGGTGTTCGAGCTGCGCGCCGCCGACGAGGACGCGCTGGTGTACCGGCCGTCGTCGCGCGACCAGAAGCAGAGCCGCCTGGCGCAGATCGCCAAGTACGTGGCCGCCACCGGCCAGATCCTCAACATCGGCGACGTGTCGTCCTGGATGAGCCAGGAGGTGCGCGAGACCGACGGCTTCTTCACGCGCTCCATCCTGTGCATGCCCATCCTCAACGGGCAGAAGACGGTCATCGGCGTGGCGCAGCTCATCAACAAGGCAAGGAGGCTTGGGTACCCACTGCGTTAAGGGGGCGGCCCCCACGTCCACGTCTGAGCCAGGTCTGAGCCCTCCCATCCCTTTTCCCACAGGGCACGGGGCAGCCGTTCTCCGACTGCGACGTGACCATCTTCGAGGCCTTCGCCATCTTCTGCGGGCTGGGCATCCACAACACGCAGATGTACGAGAACGCGTGCAAGCTGATGGCCAAGCAGAAGGTGGCGCTCGAGTGCCTGTCCTACCACGCCACGGCCTCCACCGACGACACGGACCGCCTCAGCTGCGAGGAGATCCCCACCGCCGAGCACTACAACTTGTACAGGTACTTGCAGTGTACTTGCGGTTGCGGGCGGACGAAGGGGCGAGGCGCTCGGGTCATCCACTGTTGCACCGCCTTGCCTTTGCAGCTTCACGTTCGTGGACTTCGAGCTGTCGGACGAGGACACGTGCCGCGCCACCATGCGCATGTTCCTGCAGTGCAACCTGGTCAAGCAGTTCCAGATCCCCTACCAGGTAGGCGGCGCCAGTTCCTTGCAGTTCCTTGCCCAACGCTCTTCTCAATGGCTGTCTTTTGCTGACCCCGTTGCGTGCCGCGTGCTGCGTGTCCCAGGTGCTGTGCCGCTGGGTGCTGAGCGTCAAGAAGAACTACCGGCCCGTCAAGTACCACAACTGGAGGCACGCCCTGAACGTGGCGCAGACCATGTTCGCCATGCTCAAGACGGGCAAGATGGAGCGCTTCATGACGGACCTTGAGGTGAGTCCTTGACGGCGTCCTTGGTGGCGGCCTTGAGGTGGGCGGTAACAAGCGGCCGGCTGCCGGCTGGCCGGCACCTGTTCAAACAGTGGAGGAGCGAGTCGACCTTGTTTGCTCGGGCCTCCAAAGGCCTCCAAAGTCCCGGACCGAGACGGCAGCACCTTCGCTTATTACATCTGCGTGTTTCCTTGCCAACTCTCCCCACAGATCCTCGGGTTGCTGGTGGCCTGCCTGTGCCACGACCTGGACCACCGAGGCACCAACAACGCCTTCCAGGCCAAGACGGAGTCCCCGCTCGCCATCCTCTACTCCACGTCCACCATGGAGCACCACCACTTCGACCAGTGCGTCATGATCCTCAACAGCGAGGGCAACAACATCTTCCAGGCCATGTCCACGGACGACTACCGCGCCGTCATGCGCACCGTGGAGAACGCCATCCTGTCCACGGACCTGGCCATGTACTTCAAGAAGAAGGACTCGTTCAGGGAGCTGGTCGACAACGGGGAGTTCGACTGGCAGAGCGAGCCCAAGAAGGACTGTGAGTATGCAGCCAGTGTGGTGGCGGGGAGAGCGCCGTGGCGGTAGGCAGGCCCGCCGAACGCGCGTGCAAGACATTGCCTACGCCGCAGGCGCTCTGGCCGCGGAGAACGCCGTCCCGCCGAACGCGCGCGCACGACATTGCCTACGCTGCAGGCGCTCTCCCCGAGACTTGGCTTTTGCAAGAGTTTTTCGCTTCGCCACCTCCGTCACCGACACAGCCCCGTCTTCCACTTTGCAGTGCTGTGCGGCATGATGATGACGGCGTGCGACGTGTCGGCCATCGCCAAGCCCTGGGAGGTGCAGCACAAGATGGCCAAGCTGGTGGCCGACGAGTTCTTCGACCAGGGCGACTTGGAGCGCATGCAGCTCAACCAGCAGCCAGTCGTGAGTTCCGGATTTTTTTTTTAGCTGTCCTTTTTCTTTTTTCTTTTTGCGAATCTTTTCCCGAAAACCTCCGCTTGTTTTGTGCAGGCCATGATGGACCGGGAGCGGAAAGACGAGCTGCCGCAGATGCAGGTTGGCTTCATCGACGTCATCTGCTTGCCGCTGTACAAGGTGCGTCGGTTTGTTGATCTACGCTCCCCCTTCTAGGGGCAAACGAGAGTGGCGGGTTCACGGTCCCCTCTCCTTGTTGTTGCGCAGACGCTGGCCGACACGTTCCCCTGGATACAGCCCCTGTACGACGGCTGCTCGGCCAACCGGAGCCACTGGCAGGACCTGGCCGAGAAGGTGGAGATGGGGCTGACCTGGATCGACCACGACACCATCGAGAAGCCCATCGAGGAGTTCTCAAGTGAGTACGCCGTCCTGGCGTCTGGGATGCGTTGGCTGCACGCGGTTCTGACCCTGCCGTTTGTCCGTCTGTCCCCGCAGAGGAGTCTGACCGCGTGGAGGACATCGAGCTGACCGTGACGACGCTGAACCGCGCCACGCACGAGGAGGGCGAGGAGGGCCCCGCGCTGCGGCCGCTCAACGGCTCGGACAGCCGCCACGGCGCGTCCTTCCGCAAGCACCGCGTGGGGCTGGCCAGGAAGGTGCGCGCGCTGGCGGGGGCGGGGGTGGCGGCCAGCGCGGCGCCGGGCACGGGCATGCCAGCCATGGGCGGCAGCGACACCGCGGCCCAGCAGCACCGCAAGGCGCGCGCGCGGCTGTGCGCGCTGCTGTGACACGCGCCCGGGCTGGCCGCCGCCGCCCCCGCCGCCCCGCTGCTGCTCCATGTGTGCGCCGAGAAGTAAGGCGTGAACGCGTGAACGCGCACGTGCACGCCGAGGCGTGTCTGGCGTGTCTGGAGTAGGCGGCCCGGCCGGCGGTGCAGCGAGCGAGGCCGTGGAGGCCGTGCAGGTCGTGGACTTGGACGCGGCCACGCGGCCCACGCCTCGCCCTGGGCAGGCACACCGTCACACCGTGCAGTGCCCCGCACCCTGCCCCGCACCCCGCCGGGCCCTCAGCGGGCGGTCACCTAGCGGCCAGCAACCCGGGACCCAATCTCAGCGATGTGACAGAAAGGCGGCAAGGAGAGGAAGCACATTGCCCTGGCTGCGAAGCCATCGATACGAGCAGCACTTGGTGTTTTGATGCGATTGAAAGTGGCCCAGGTGGACGGACTGGTGTACTTCAGCCTTCATCTCGGAGGCTGCGACTGGAGACTGGAGCCGCTCTGGCTTCTCCCGCAACGCTCGTGTTTCCTCTACTGATGGAAGCGTTAGTTTTGTTCTTCATGATTTCGAAACAAACTCTAGTCAAGTAATGTGAGAAAAGGTTTGGACGGAATTGTCAACAGCACAGGGTGATACCGTGTAATGTGGAGCAGGCGGTCGGTGCCTTTAGTTTGGGGTATTGTAGAAATAAGATTTGAATTTGTGATTTCCACCCCGTCAACTCTTGACAGTGTCTTTTCTTTCTGTTGTACATTAGTGTCTGTTCTTTCTTTCTCCTTGACTCTCCTGGTGTGCTCCTTTTTTAACTCAAAATTCTTTGATGTAGACGACTTCTAGTGCAAAAACTCCTCTAATTATGTGAATTGGAATGAATTTGCTTTGTATCCAGCCTCCCTCTTAAAAATAATCACGAAAGTATATCACAGTATACTGTGTAACAATCTTCAAGTTGTTAATTTATAAATGAAGCATTTACCATGGGGAGAATGGGCAAGTTGACTTTTGTTGATAAAAGTTTGATCTCGCATGAGTAAATATAGTTTTCAACCCCTAGAAAACTTCAAAAAATAAAAATTACTCGTTAAAAAAAAAACTATTTCTAAAAAAACGCAAAAAAAAAGTTTTTTTAGCTGTATGTAGATCTTCTTAGGCACCTCTTCAGTGAAAGCATTTCTTTAATTGTTTTGTGAAGTTCTTTCATGTTGGTCTCTGTGATAGTCTAATCTAAGTTGGAGTCTTCTTCCACTGGCAAAAGAGCATTGCAATAATTAATTATGTATATTTAAAATAAAATGTAAGGCCTGGGCTGTTTTTTACCCAACTTGGACGCGTTCTTCGTATGTTAAATAGTAAACTTTAAGTTATTTCACATGATGTATGGCAAATAGTATATTTGATCGAACTGACGGCACCACTGTGTAAAAATTGAGGTGGTTTTATCTTTTTCTTTTTCAGTGTATTATCAGCAATCAAAATCTACCAGTTAACATGCTGTCTGTTCCTTAAAAAGTAGAAAAGAAAAAACGAGTGCCTGCTTAAAGAGAGACTTGATTAGTCATGAATGCCTACTCTAGTTTGTAAGTACTATTTCATTGTTTCTGGTCAATGTTTTGCAGAGTGGACTCAGTGGACTGCTGAATTAGAGCGACTCAAATGTGAAGGAATATAGAGTATAATAGACGCTGATGGGTGCTCCAGGTAAAACTTTTTAAAATTCATCTTCCGCATGGAGAAGGCCGAATCCTTATCCATCTTTTCCGCATGTATAAGGGACATGCAGGTGACTTTTCTGCATCACTTAAAAGCCCCAGTTTGATCTGATTTCTGCAGAAAATATTCGAGGCCTTGAAGGCTCAAAGTGATGTTGTGTGTATGGGGCACAGAACTGCATGAGATGTGGAAGGGCTTTAATACCCATTTTTACTGCCCTGATTATTTGATGGAGCTAAAACTAACTGCTTCTAAAAATACATTGCTCTTGTTTTCCGTCAAGGACCTAATTTGGAATGGGAAAATGTAAGTGGTCATGATTTCATTTTAGAGGTAATTGCAAAGTGTGAAGGGAAAACTTTGGTAACGAGGTTAATGTAAAGCAACAAAGATGCGGCGTAGATTTTTTTCATTAAGTATTTGAATATAAGATTGTTTTTGTATGTGTAAGAAATAAAATGCTCGTAGATAAATTGGATCTTTAAATTTATTGTACCTCAATCAATCTCTGGACACATTTTCTCCTCCACAGCTGACAGATTGGATATTAATAACAATATAAACGCTTCAGGAAATGGTCGCACTGAACTGATGCTAAATTCGCTACAATTCTACCAATTTAAATCTCACCCCATTTCCCGCGAGGGAACAACCTTCAATCAGTTCTGAAGAATTTTTCATACATGTGGCAGCGCCCCCTGGTGGTTAGTGCTGGAAGTACGCAGCACCGCATAACCTTAAACTTCAAAACCAAAACATTGCAAACTGTCTGCTGCTGTTATTCTGAGATAGCCTTTTCGTGCAAAATAATACGTACATAAATTTTGCCATGGTTCACTTTTCTCAAATTTTGATGATCCAGGTCACAAGAGTAGCTAGGAAGGTAGGTCGTGTTTGAACAAAGCTGTCAGGCTTTTAAAAACTCAGAACATTCAGTCCTTGGAAGAACCAATGCTTTCTTCTCTCATGTTCTTCTGAAGTACTGCTATGCGTTTTGTAAAATTACTTGAAAGCATAAGTTTTGAGTATCAGTGTAAAATTTGTTCATTATTTTCATCATCATGTGTTCTGTTATTTTGGTCCAGAAATTCCGGGGATCTTATATGGACAAAGTTCATGTCAACATTCAGGCTGGTAACGGAGGGATGGGTAATGTAAAATTCGGTGGCATTGGTGGCAAAGGAGGTGATGTGTATATGATGGCAACAAAAGGTAAACCTATTTTCTCATTAGAAGTTTCATAAAAATTTTGATGTACATATTTTTAAAATATATAATAAAAAAATTATTCCCCTTGTGCTTTGTGTGATATCTACATTTCTAGTTTTTTCTTTCAGCCAAAGATCTGAAAACTGTAATTGAAAATTTTCCTGAAAGAAGGATTAAAGCTGGGCATGGGGGGAACAGTGCTGCAAAAAAGCTGATGGGTGCTCGAGGGACTGACATTACTGTGGGAGTTCCTCGTGGAGTTAAGGCCATATCTGACGATAAATTCGTTATTGGTAATTCATCAAAACTACTCTTTAAGTCATTACTAGTGATTTGTTAATTTTGTATCCTATCATTAATCAAAACTATTTCATTCTAGGAGAGGTTAATGAGAAAGATGACAAAGTTCTTATAGCTCAAGGCGGCATTGGGGGAAATCCTGCCACAGGATTTTCTGGAATGAGAGGACAAAAATTTAATGTGACATTTGAGTTGTCACTTATTGCTGATGTTGGACTTCTAGGCTTTCCAAATGCTGGCAAATCTACTTTACTTAAAGCATGCTCAAATGCTAAACCCAGAATAGCAGATTATCCATGTAAGATGGAAAGAAATTACCTGTTGTCCTCTGTGTCAAATTAAATTGCCACTGAAGTAATGCTATTGTTATATGTTTTCCTTGGACTGCTTTAAGTTTGTATTTAATAATAAATTATCTAATTTCAGTTACGACTGTTAAACCAAATATAGGAATAGTGGAATATGCAGATTTTCGAAGGATCACTATGGCTGATCTACCAGGGCTTATAGAGGGTGCCCATGCAAATTTTGGTATGGGCCACAAATTCCTTCGTCACATAGAGCGTGCCAAACTAGTTTTGATGGTTGTTGATGTTTGTGGTTTCCAACTAAGCAGCCAGCATAAGAAACGATCAGCCCTTGAAACCATCATGCTTCTCAACAAGGTTCTAATTTTTCCTGAAATGTTGTGATGGTGTAACGAATTTGCTCCCTCTAGCTTATCTTTTGTAACGATTGTCTTTTTCATTTAGGAACTCGAACTATACAACCCTGATTATTTAGATAAACCGATGGCTCTGATTGTCAATAAAATGGACCTCCCAGGGTCAGATGACATACTGAATGAAATCAAAGATAAACTCACATGTTTATCAGGTATAACTTCAATCTGAAGTTACTGTAAAAAAACCTATTATGCATCCTAGATTTATTCCCTTGTATCAGTTTGTAATATTGTTTCTTTTCTTTTCCAGAGTTTTCTCAAGAATTGCCTGAATATTTTAAATGCAACAAACCTGTTCAATTTGAAGAGGTAATTGCTATATCTGCCAGCGAAAGGACAGGAATAGACAAGGTAAAGGACTACGTTCGGTCTTCTTTAACCAACATTGCCGAAAAGACAAGGATAGGACAGGATGTAGAAGAGAGACTGAATGCATTAAAACGTGTTTCTGCAGAGGCAGGACCTCGTCTTGTATGAGTAATAAATCATTACAAATGTACCAGTTGCATTTTTCATTGAGAGTTAGTGAGATTTCATGGATGTTGGAGGTGAGGGTATAGTTTTTAAAGAAGAAACTTTTTGTTTATCGCCATATGATTCTATTGAGCTCTCTAGAATGCCAAGTTACTTGGCTCCAACTTTATCCAGAGGAAAATTCACTTTCCAATTTTTCATGTAAATACAAAAATTTTTTTCTAAGAATTTGTTGATCTGATTTCCGTGCTTTACAATTCAATACAGTTTCACACAAGGAAATAATTAAGGGAACATCAAATTTGGAGAAGTGGCAAAGGATAAAGTTTGACAAGATTTAAATGTCTTAAATTGACCCAATTGGACAACAGTTTCTACAAAGCCACATCAATACATCAAAGATCTCCCACACCTTTACATACATTCATACACACAGTCAGCCACAGCATTCTTCTCTTACATCAGTGAATGTTAAATCAAAGACAGAAAAGGAAATTTAAAGATAATATGAAAGACTTAAAGAAAAGTAAGAGAGGGATAAGACAAAATCAAATTTCAGATTCCTGAAAATGGTTAAAGACTAATTAACAAAAAATAAGAAACAATAACTAAATACCAAAGGCTGAAGCAAAAATGCTAACAGGCAACGCTCCCTTGAATAAAAACAAGCACTTGATTTTTATGCCAAAAATAACAAAAACAAAAATTGACCAAATATCAAGAACTGTTTTAAGAAGCAGAGGTTATTGTCTCCAAAACTACATCTGCATTCACTCATGCAAGCAGCAAAAATGATTCTTTCCTCCTGGGACACAAGTTGTCACAAGGAGGGGGTGGGATGAAAACATTGCATTAAAAGTCTTGATAATAATTGAAGGTGGCTTGGTAGCATGTCTTCAAAAAGCTGGGTGAGCTGGAGGAAAGATGTTCAGACAAAACCAGGTCTTAAAAACAAAAAAAATAAGTTGAAAGGTGTAAGTATATTGAATACACAAAACATACAACCAAAAAGACAGGATTCCAGCCGAGGTAATACATAACTTTTTTTTAAAATCATTTTTTTGTTACCAAGTCTCAAAAATTTGCAACAGAAAAGAAAATTCCAGATTTTAGGGGCCCAGCACACCCAGATGTTCCCTAAATGACAAAACTGAGAGAAAGTGAGACTTTTTATGGAATGACATTCAAATATCCTAACATAAAAGAACTAGGAAAGTTCTTGAACAAGAAGATGTGGGTTTACTTTTGTAATGCACTACTTCTGAAGTAAATCTATTTAGTACAATCAACGACAAAATTCAATAGATACCCACGGATCAAGTGATTTGTCGTACAAAAACGACCCTAACAAGCTTTTAACTGGAGCCTTTCTGCCAGAATTTGGACAATGGCAGTGTACTTGCTTTTACAAATAAGATTCTTGATGCAATGCAACACTGACTCCAAGACTTTTTTACTTGTTGCTGTGGGTTTGACTTGTAATGTGCTGGATGTTAGAGAGAGAAATAAAGATAAAGTTACACAAATTAAAAGAAGTCAAGAGAAAAACAAATCAAACAGACATGTGCATTGCCCACATGATAATATGCTCTTGGATTTACTTCAACAGATCAACTAGAGTAAATCGCCTCAACTCTTACACTAGATGGCAGTTCAATAAGTTTATACATTTTTTTAAATAATTTTTTTTTTTTTTACTTTCAAGAGTTTCTTTCCGGTTATTTATAAAAAGCTAACCTGTTGCTGTTGAAGATAAGAGGTGAGCCAAGAATAATGCCAGTTGCTATATTAAAATTTAAATGGTTTGGTTTGCTTGATAGGAAGAAAACAGTATGAACAGACAATATACCCTCCCACTAGCTTTTATTCCTTTTAATTTGTCTAGACAGAAAATATTTAATATTACCAGCCAAAGAAGTGTTTGCATTTTTAGTGAAGATGATGTTGAGATGAAACTTAGTTTTGTATGGTTTTGCAAACTTCATCATGCTTACAATAACACATATAAAAAGTAAATGCAAACTGAATTTTAGGTGTAATTAAAAAAGGATCTGACTTCAAATCATAGTAATTAATAGTAAAAGTAATAATACATGGTAACCCGTTTTGAAAGTGTGTTGATGCTTGATACAGCACATACAAGTACCACACAGACAGCTCCCCAGAAAGCAATCCCAAAATTACAAACCAATCCTTTCACCTGCATATAACTCAACATTTGAGAACAGTGTTAAACAGCTATGAACAGTATTGTACAGCACCTCGCGGAGGTTCGTGAAGCCAGCCATCATTACCATACATAATAAAATAAAGACGTCTCGGAGAACATTTTTCTCTAGTCAGAAATATCAAAACCATCTCTTTCCTTGAGCAAGCTGGAAATGCTTGATCATAGACCACTCACAGTAAAAATCTTACTTAATCTTACGGGCGGAATCATCACAAGGGCTCTCACTTCACGAGCCTCCAAGCCTGTCCAATATCACATCAACAACAAATTTTAAAATAATGAAATGCAACAGCAAACATTCTAGATAGCCATGTAGAATATCTATTTTAAGCTGCCCATAAGCTTATATCCCAAACCATTCAGCATCTACAGTGATACAACATACCACCTATTTACCTGTGCTGTACAATTACATAATTGATCACAATTTGAGAAGAATTGAAAACGAAAATCAATTAAGAAACAAAGAAAAAGATCTTAAACAAAACCAAAGAGACTTGCTTACTGCATATACCAAACGTGCATTTCATGACGAAAGTTAATAAAAAGAAAACCTGTCTTGACTAATTACAGAGCAGTGGCTAGGTTCCCAACAGCCCAGGCTTTTTTTTAATTTTAATGTATTTTTTATTTTTTATTCTGTGACATCCTGTGACATCTAGCCTAGTCTGTACAGATCCCTACCACCATAAAAATCGGCCTGCCACCTGTGCTAAAACCACACACATTAACAATTTCATTGCCAACAACACAACATTCAAACGCCTCTTGGAGCCTCTCCAAAAATTCTTATATCTTATAACTCATATCTACAAATCTGCTCATTCCACTGGGTTGACCAGCAACCCAGAATGTGCTACCCTTACAACAGAAGTAATGAGAAAAAGCTAGGTAGGGGTTGGAAGCAGCTCTTTGTTTTAGTACTTTACTAGTACTAGCATACTTTTATGCAAACACATTACTTCACAAAATATAATTATCCAAACAATAAACAGCCTCTCATTTTGGAATGTCCTCCAAGTGTGGTGTATTGGTTTTGTTCGTCAAGGTGCTGTCCTTGAAAGTTTTAAGGACCTGAGGACATGATGGTCCTCGCTGTGGAAGTACAGCTTGGGTCTCAGAGGTTTCCAAATGATATGGATACTGGTTGAACCAGAAAGGCTTCAAGAAAGACAGTGTAATAAGGGGAGCACATTATGTGCATTTACTTAATCATATAAAACATGAAATAAATTATAGTTTCACTATATTGATGGAGGAGAGGTATCATGAGAACAACCAAAACATTCCAACCCCAACAAGCGTCTCTTAGCAGAATCTTCCAAAAATAACCTTCTGTGCTAAGTCTATCATCACCACCCAACCTTCACTTCAAATATAAACCTTTCCAGCATCTAAACCTTTCTCTTGTCAACACATTTAAACTTTGAAAATCTCCATCAAAGAGCATGTTTCTCTCTTTGTTTACAACAATACAACAAAGAAATAAAGCAATCAAAATAAGTAGTTAATTTTCTCTTTTATCTTCCTACTGTACTTAACATACTTCTTAAACCAATCTATTAAACACAACAAGACAAAAATGATTCTGTTAAATATTGTGGTAGTATGTAAATTACACATAGAAAACCAATTTTTCTTTGCAATCTTTCCAATAAATCGGTCATTTAATTGGCTAGATTAAAGAGAACGGTCCACGAACAGCGCTAGGCGCAAGAGATGGAAAAGACCAAAGAGATTTATACAAATATAATCAATACTGGAGCCACTTATCTGTCATACAGACGGAGGTCTCCTACTCAACAAATTGTTCAACCGACTGCACCGCAGCATACCCTTCAATTTATGGTTACATTGATGGTTACACATGCCTTCACAAAACGCTCTGCAATATTTCATATTCTAAAAAAAAATTTGGATTGTATAGGTATATACATAATTTGTACCATACCACACAAGTGTTGTCTTACCGCAGAGTGGCTGGCGGCATGGTACGAGGCATGCAAGAGCACAACCACTCACTTAGCAATTCAACATGGCCTTTGTGTATGTTACGTCTACAAGGTAGTCAAAATGATTTAGAATGAATGTTTGGGACCCGTGTCAAAAGGGACAAACATCTATTTCTTTAATGCATAATGTGAAATGGGTTGGCCCCATTGAGTAAGCTAAGGCATATCACAGGCTGATGTCAGTTCAAACAAAATGAAAGGAAGAACATTCAAAACATAAAAGTATGGGCGACTTAAACAGCCTCAGCATATTCTTTGCTGTACACTTTTCCAACATATCCTTGAACACATTTGTATTAAAGGACTAATCAAAGCAAAACAAAAACAAAAACGAAACAAAATAAATGAACTTTATGTAACAAAAAACTTGGTTTGAATTCCAATAACAGCCAAAACAAGACGTCAACAGATTATATATTTATGTACTATATAAGTAAAGATCAATTTAGTTCACGCAGTGACTCTTATGAAGATAAAAACATATAACAACAGAAACAGATAATATTAATTGATTGACACCTATAAGAATTTCTTGCCTTGACTAAAATTCACATGTTCACATTACTTTGCAAATCTGAGTACTATACATTTTTTTTTTGTTTCAACAGCAATCTTATATGGCTCAAGAATGAACATATCAACTTTGTACCTTATATCTTTGTCTTGAAGAGTGTGTGCAAGATTTCAACACCCAGCCGACCCATCGACTCTTTACCAACATGGAATGGCAGCAACAGCAGCACCACCCAGTCCAAAAATAGTGTCCGTCCAATACCAACTTTAGTTCATTCACCCACTAACAATCTCCATTAATACAGGACTATCTTCTACTGAAAGCCCTGGCAGCCTAGACCAAAATCCAACGGCAGACTGAGTCTATTGTTAATTTCATTTCCTTTACAATATCTACTGGGTCCCCACTGTCAACGAGTCCTGTTATCGCGTTCGCGTCGATGTCGATGTGGGTGTCGGCCGTCTTGGAGGGATTGGCGTGGGACCTTGAACCAGTCAAGGGACATTATTGTGTCTAGGGCACACGGGCCTCACTTGGGGCCGGAGCCGGTGCCCGGGCCGCCGTCCGCGCCGCTTGACGAGGGCCTGTCCCTGACGGGGTCCCTGGTGGAGTCCCTGACGGCGTCCTTGTCCCCACTCGAACCTCCCGACGCGGACGCGTTGCCATCCTTCATCTTGTCGCAGTAGTCGGCGAAGATGTCTCGGAAGCGCGCCCACGACTTCTCGGGCACCGTGATGGCCGTCCGGAAATTCGACTTAACCTGCAACACCAATAGCCACAGACATCCACGCTAAAGGACAAGCCGAGCAGATTCCTCTCCATCCTTCACAAAAGTCAATACAGGGAATGCGGTCCGGTCGCATCGGGGGAAATGCTTACTTCTGAAATGCGCATGTAGATCCCTCGGTTGTTTTGGCCGATGTCGAAATAAAAGTTCTTGTTCTCCACCCGCATATGCCGGCCCTCGGGGAGTTCCCCCTTGAAGCCGCCGTCGTCGGTGCCGAACTCGTCCAGGAGGTCTGTGAGGGCGTCCCGGAACTCGATCATGCCTTGGGCTGGGATGGCTATCTGGGAACGCGGCCCGCCCCGCACCATGGTCTGAGATACCTGTGCACACTGCGGGGCCGCGGCCACATTAGTCAACGGCGTGACTCCACCAAAGCACTTTCAACCAACACAGCATAGAACAGACCAGAGTAGGCGCTATACTCACACTCACCCTCAAAAAGCGCCCACGTGAATTCTCTTTCAGGTCCAGATAGTAGCGTCGGTTTTCTTTGATCATCATTTCTGATTTTAGCTTGCCATCTTCTGGCATTGATTCTGGGTTTGGCGGCCCTGCAACGGTTATTACATGGTACAGGGTTCGTAAAAAAACAAAACAAAAAAAAAAAACGAATAAAAGTAAATTTGACATACCAAGAGACGCATAATAATCACTAAATGATGAGAGGTGGTCTCTAAAATCTGCTGCTGTGGATAGTGCCAGAAATATTTGGCTTCGTCTACCATCGGCGCTAATCTGTAAAGTCAAATACAGAGTTAAGCTCAATACTGCTCTCTCTCTTTCTCTCAAACACAAAACAGAAAAAAAAGGTATCTTACTTCTGCTACTTTGATAAATCGCCCTCTCCTATTCTGTTTCACATCTAGATAGAACCTTTTAGACTGAATTTGCAGCATTTTTGTTGCCAGCTCTTGTTCGCCCTGCTGGTTTTGACCTAAAACAAAAACAAGAGATTGAAACGATTTGACTTAAATACTCATTGATGTATTTTCTTGACACTAAGGATTTCCATTCGTTCAGAGCTACCCATCACACCACGCACACACACAACTAAGTACAGCCCCAGCAACATAACCACCAGCCTCCCTCCGGAACAAAGGAAGGGCCCCTACGGACAAGTCCCTCGCCCCGCGAGGCGAGGCAGCGCGCCCCGCCAGGGTGCCTGTGGCGCCCAAGCAGCCCGTCTCCAGGCTCACCTTCCCCAGGGTCACTGTCATCGAAGTCAATCAAGAAGTTGGGCTCGTCGTTGTTGTTCCTGGGCAGGTGCTCCATGTCGAAGTCGTAAGGGCGGGCCCGCGGGGGCCGCGAGGGCCGCGCGGGCGCCATGCTGGCCTCGGCCCTGGCCTCGGCCATGCTGGGCTTGCTCGAGAACATGCCCGCCCTGGCCAGGCCGCCCAGGCCGCCCAGGCCACCCAGACCGCCCAGGCCGCCGAGGCTGCCCGGGGGCCGCGGTGGCCTGCCCTCGGGCCTGCCCGCCTGCCTGGCGCCGTGCTTGGCGTGCTTGGGGCCGTACCACGCCACGGCGCGGCCGTTCTCGTACAGGTGTCGGTGGGAGTGCTGCGTCGCCTTGGCGTCGCGAGCGCCTCGCCGAGCCTGCCTGGCGCGGAGCGACGCGAGCGTGGCGGGGTGACGTTCACCGCGCACGGGGCTGCTCAGGCGACTGCTTGGCCTCGGCTGGGCTCGCTCCGCTCGCTCTGCTCTCGCTGCTCGCGCATCACGAGGCGCGCCAAGATGGACGGCGGGTGGATGCAGAGTCAGACCAGGCCGAGGGCGAGGGCGAGGGCCAGGCACAGCGCGGTGGCGCACAGGGAGGCTGGGCAGTGCGCCCACGCCACGGCAGCTCCACTCCGCGGCATGAGCTGCATATGTGGGTCAGGCCAAGAGGCCGTGAGGCCGTCAGGCCACGCCGGGACGGTTGGGCGCAGGCAGGGCCCAGGCAGGGCCCAGGCACCACGGCCCGGGGGGTAGGCGCGTGCGCGCACCAAGGTCACACCGCACTAGTTGCTCGCGGGGGAAGGGGGCGGGGGCGGCCCACAGGGGTGGACCCGCGGGGTGCAGTGACCCGGGGGTCTGGGGGGAGGAAAGGGGAAGGGCCCACGCGAAGATCAATATGGCCGCTCCGCAAGCGACTCCACGACGGCGTGCTCCGGCTGGGCTCGAACCCAGGCCCCGTCCCTGTTGGCCTCGGCTAGCCCTGCTCCGCCCTGCTCGACTCGGACGGCAAGGCTGGGCAAGGCCTCGCGCTGCTCCGCCGGTCGGACCCGCACTGCGCCCGCCCCGGCCGAGCCGCGCCGCCGCGCCGAGCCCACCGAGACCAGGGAGCCCCACCCCCACCCCCACCCCTCCAGCAAAGGGCGGGGGCACGCGCCGGGCGGGGGCTGGGCGGGGGCGGGGGGCGCCTCAGCTGACCGCACCATCCCCCCGCCCGCCCCCTCCAAAGATGCCACAGTGTCGCATCCCCATGGCCCCATAGCCAGCACGGGCAGCACTGGCAGCCACCCCCTCCAGAACGTGCCCGCCAGTGCACCAGCACCACCGCCCCTCGCCCACCCCCAACCCCGACCCACCCTTGCATTTGGCGCCGCACGATCGGGCCGATGAGGCCTGACAGCCCCGCCAAACGACCGGGACAAAAAACGCTTGGCGCTATCGCGGCACGCGGTGCAGGACACGGTCGAACGCCTGGCTGGCCGTCCAGCATTCCTAGGGCGGACAGGCAGGCCTCGGCAGGCCTTGGCAAGCAGGCTGGTCGATGTGACGCCGATCGACCAGTGAGGCAGACAGGACGGCCGCGGTGCGCAATACGCAGTACGCGCCAATCGGCGAGGCGGCGCCATAGGCGGCAAAACGGCGAGGAGACGAGATGCCAACAAGGCGAAGCGCGAAGCGGGGCGGCGCTGCTGGCCGCGGGTAGAGGCGCCGAGGGGGCCGGGGGACGCTTGGCAACAAGCGGGGGGGGGGGGGGGGGGCAAAACCGGGAGCAGGCGGAGCAGGCCTAGGGTCACTCACCCCTTACTACGCCCCAACCCCAACCCACCCCACCGCCACCCCCCGCCTCCGCAGCCTTCGCAGCGTCCGCAGCCTTCGCAGATCCCCGGCCGAGAGCAGCGGGAGCAACGCGCGTGCTGACGTAACGCACAGCGAGCCGAAGCGGGCTCGAGAGCTGCCGCCCCTCCCGCCCTGCCCCTCGGCGTCCTTCTCCTCCTCCTCGACGCCGAGCCGCCGAGCCCTCCAAAATCCAACCCAGAGGATGCCAATAACGCCGCCATCTACTCAGGACCAACCCAACTCCCCCCCACCCCAAGCAACCCGAAGCACCGGACCGCGCCGGCCAGCTAGCCCTCGAGCTAGCCTCGGCCCGCCGCCCCCTCCCCTCCCCTCCCCGCGCCCGGAGAAGTACCCGCAGACAGGGCGGCGGCGCGGGCGGCGCGGGGCCGAGCTCGCGTACCGTCGATCGGAAATGAGTAGGTGCGGCCCCACCATGCGCACACCGCGCGGACCGACAAGCTCCACGTGGGCGCCCAGTTAGCCCGCAGGCCGAGAGCCGTGTTCGTGTCTCTCTCGCACTCACGGGGGCGTCTCGGAGGGGTGCGAGAGAGACAGCGACGAACACAACTCTCGGGATCAGTCCACTGCTAGCGGACGCCTCTCCGGCACCCACAGTGTAGTCGGCAGTGGAAACAGCCCGTGTCAATATCCAGGCGGCGTAGATCGCGTCTAGTAGTCCCCCTACCCCGGGCCAGCCTTCCTCGCAAACACACACACACACACATCTTAAATGCGTAGCACTAGCAGAACCACGAATCGGCATTTCTCACTACACCAGCCTCAGTCAGTATGCCATAAAGAGAAGACCCCATCACGAAAAAGAAAGAGAGACCCCCGACGTTGGTGAGAAAAACTGGTTCCCACGATACGACCACCACCATTTTACAGCCCTTGTAAGTAGGAGAACCGGTACAGGCAGAAGGGATGCAACGATAAGAAAGACTTGGACAGAGGCAACTTACTACAGGACACCGTCCGTCTTGCTAACCTACTCTCCGGCGTCGCTCGGCAGAGACTCGACACCCTTGCACAACACCCTCTCCCCGTGCACGCTAGACCCCAACCACAGGTAGACCGGTAGACCCCAACCTAGCCGACCACAAACACATAAACCCCGTCGCCCGGATAAACGAACCCGCTGCTTGGTTCCCTGGGTTCCCTGGCATCCCTGTGCTGCGCCTGTCCGGCCCTGGTCTTTGATGGTGTGGTGGCCCCTACCGACGGCGAGCTCTGGGGCGTCGTTTCACCCGACCACTTACCTGCAACACAACAAACAAACAAACAGGGGCGTTAGTCAACCATCATCAGTTTGCGCTACAAAATGTCACCAAATCTACAGGTAGGTTCATTCATTTTCAAAGTTTTTCGCGTTGTCGTCCGGCCCCAGCATCCCGGCCATCCAGGCCGCCCAGGCGAACGGGCCAAGGACCGCGCCGCCTCGCCCGAGATCCGTCGCCCACTCCGGCTCAAGTCCGGCCGGAGGAGACCAAACCAAACATAATCGGGGCCCTTTGAGCGAGACAGCCGGGATAGGCGGGCTGGCCCAGGGGCTGGCCCAGGGGCTGGATCGCCATTCAATGGCTTCAGACAAGCCCAGCATCCCCAAGCACGTCACGGGTTCGCGGGTTGGCGGCGACGGGTCGCTTCGGGCCCAGCCAGCACGCCATCGACATCCCGCGCAGCACACTGATTCCGAGAGTCGGTTTCGTCGCTCCGTCTCTCTCGCACCTATACGAGACGCCGCGTGAGTGCGAGGGAAACAGAACGACGAAAACGACTCTCGGAATCAGTCTGAGGGACAAAAGGCGGGCGGGGCCGTCCAGGCTGTCCAGGTGCCAACATGGGGAACAGGGGCTGTTCTCAATCAACACACAACATCCACGAAGACTTGCAAGTGAAAACGCCACAAAGGATGGCCGGAGGGGAGGGGGGGGGAAGGGAGGTAGCAAAAGGACGAAGCGAGAGGGGGCAAGGCCATACAGCAGTGCCGCCTCCACCGCCGCCACGCCCCGCCACGCCCCGCCACGCCCCGAGCCGATCAATGCCTGGTGCCGCCCCCCACACGCCCCCCACCTGGACCCCTTCCCCGGCCCCCCGAGGCCCCAGCCAAGGCAGGCTAGCGGCGCGCGCGGCGCGTATCCGAAGCAGCGAGCCTGGCGTCCTGGGCGGCGTGGTGCCTCGCGCGGCCGCTAGGTGGCGCCCGCAGCCCGTCCGCGAGCGCGGGCTAGCGCGGCCGAAGCGCCGCGGCGGGGCGCGGGACCCAGCTGACGACAACAGCTGTTGGGGTGGGGCGCGGGCCCGCCTCGTCCCTACCGGTCCCTACCGCCCCTACGGCAACTCGGGTGAGCCTGGCCGGCCATGGCTGCCCTGGCCCACCCTGGGGGTGGGGGTGAAGGGCACGGCGCGGGGTGGCGGCGGGCAGCGGGACCTTCGGGGTGCCTGGCGTGCCTCAACCCTAGAGCTTCGCGCTTGGCGCTTCGGCTCGGGAGAGGGGGTGGCGCGCGGGCCGAGGCGGGGCGAGGCGGCGCGGGGTGGAAAGGAGCCGGCGTGGACCGGCGTTCCAGGGGGTGGGGCCGGGAGGCCGGGTCCCGCCCGCGTCCACCAGTTACGTAACGCAGGACAAAGGACGAGCCCACCGCAGCTCAACAAGGGGGTTTCGTTCACGTGCGCGCCGCTCCGACGCCTTGGCCGCCTTGGGCGCCGCGTGCACAGCATCGCTCGGCGAACTTTGGTCGGCGCCTTAGGCGCCTCGCCTGCCGAAAAGCCTTTCCTTTATCTGGGCCGCGGCGAGGCGGGCCGGTAGGCGTCCCGTGACGTGCTCATGACGGATAGGGCGCGAGACGCATGCGGCCCAAACACGCACGCACACGCACGCACTCTCTCTTTCTCAGACACACACTTGAGATAAGGCGATGCCAAGAATGCGCGTTATGAGAGCGGGGGTGGAAAGGGGGGGGGGGTCGGGTGACGGGCCAACGAGCGCCTGTCAGGGTAGGCCACCCAAGAGCCACTCCAGAGCCGCGGCAGGGCGGCAGGCTTGGCGGCAGGGCTTCAAGCAGGGTGACGCGGCGGCCTATCTCGCCCTCCGCAGGCGCCGCCCGTCCGCCCCCTTCCGCGTCATGGCCCCGCCATGGCTCCGCTGACGCTGCTGACGCACAGCGGCAAGCAAACTCAAAGGGCGGCTAGCTCTCGACCTCCCGGCGGGCGTCACGTTCCAGCAGCCAAACAGCGACGCTCTGTCTCTCTCGCACCACGCAGCACGCCCCATGAGCGCGAGAGAGACAGGGCGACCCAACGACCCTTCGGCGCGACTCGTGTCGCGTTCCGAACTCGCGCGGCAAGTCACAGCCGCAGCACCAGCCAGCGGACTTCAAAGGGAACCAACTTTTCATTAGCGGCGCCCAGCCCAGCGACGGCCCCGCAGAGGATGGCGGAAGTGGGAGGCATTGCTCTGTCGCACTCACGGGGCGACCGGTAGGCCGGTGGGGGTGCGAGAGAGACAGACCCGGAAGCGGGGCGGGAAGTCCCGCTGATTCACGGCCAAGAGGTTGGGGCGCGTGAGTCACCGATACACTGGCCACACACCATGCGCCGTTCGGCCGGCATGCGAGCTGCAGCGCCGATAAGGAGCCCCCGTCCGGGCAAACACCTCGAAATGCCAACGACGACGCGGCGACGCCAGATTACGGCCAAGAGCCGCCAGGTTCCAAAACCCGGCCGCCGCCGCGCGCAGCAGTCACAGCGACGTGGCCAGACTGACGTCCGGAAAGCCGCCCCCGCCCCCCGGCGCGCGCGGCAGTCGCAGCGTGCGGGGGTTCCAAAAGACGCCACCCGGCGCGCGCTGCAGATAGTCCCGGAGCAAACTGCATCCGCGCAGCCAAGCCGGCCGGCGCGGAGTGCGGCGCGGAGCGAGCGCCCGGAGCGTAGGCCGCACGCCGACAGGCATGCGTACGGGACGGCCTGCCGGCCGGCAGCACGGCGCGCACGCCGCGCACGCCACCCGCCCCATCCCGGACCGCGACCAGCCTCACGGCCCGAGTATCGGCCGTCGTTCCGCGAACTGCCAACTCCCACCCGGTGCAGGCCAAGCAGGGAGAGGCGAGTCACCGACCGATGACGCGCCGGGCGGCTGAGGCAAAGCGCGGGACCAGCCGATTCATCCTGACAACAGCCAAACGCCACCTCGGCCGTGGGGTCGTTCGCTGGAGCCACCTTGGCCGTGGGAGCTCGACCTACCCCAGCTCAGACGCACTGCACGGCCAGCCAGGGGAGCTCGACCTACCCCAGACACCGCACGGGTGGCAGACACACCGCCGGCCGGTGAGGCGGCATGCACTCGCGTCATACCCCGTGCGCACAGGCCCGGCATGACGCGCACCCAAGCACCATTATGAGGCCAATGCGACGAAACATTTTCAATGACGCAATGCACGTGCAATACCGAGTAGTCTGTACACGAGTGCATGCCCCCCGCGCGGGCCGCGAGGTCAACAACACCGTCAGCCAGACGCGGTGCATTATGCAGCGTCTCGGCCGTCCGCGACTGGCGTTGACGACGACGATGACGCGCTGCAGCAGGCTGTGCAGTGCCATGGCAGTGCAGTGCCGCCGTGGCCGCCTGGGCCTGGGGGGCTGGGCCTGGGGCCAGGCGCGCTCACCGCCGAAGACATCAAAAACAAGGCTCCCACGCGCACACGCGTACGATTGCACAAGAGGAGGGGGAGGGGCCGCTCCCAATTCAGCGCATAGCGAGCATAGCGCGTCTCAGGCGCCGGCCCCAGATGTCAACGGCCGCGGTGCGGCGGGCACAGACAAACGCCGCGTGCGCGCACCGCGGCGCTCCGCCACTCTCACTTGCACTTGGCACCGCACTCGGCCACTCGGCGGGCCGGGCGCATCTTGACGGCCATTGCGCAACACTTGGCCGGGCGCACGCACTTGACACCTGCACACGCAAAACACGGTGGCACTACATCGCGTCGCCGCGCGTCGCCGCATACCGGGGGGAGTCCAGTAGAGCACCTTCCAGGGGGCGGCGTCGCGGCCGTCGCCGTCCGCCGGGCCCTGCGACGCGTCGACGCGGAAGTCCCCGACCCCGCCGGCCAGCCTGTCCTCGAGGCCGGCGCCGCCGCGGCCGAAGCCGACGTAGCCGTCGTCGCGGTCGTCAAGACCGGCGCGCGCGTCGCGGTCCTTCATGTCGCCGAGCTATCTTGCACCGCGCCGTTCGGGCCCCACCACCACACTGATGCACGGGGAACGGCGCGGACCACGCAGACCCGGGCCTCCCGGGCCCATTCACACTGACGGCCGCGCCGCGCCACGCCACGCCGCGACTCTACGCGCACGGCCCGACCCCTCCCCGCGCGTCTTGTGTCTCGTACTCGGAACTTCATTCATGTTTATGGACGGAAGGAGGAGGAGGAGGAGAGGTGAAGAGCAGGTCGAGTGCGCCATGAAGAGGGACAGCAAGAGGAACGGCGAAAGAGGAAGAGAGACAGAGAGAGGGGGAGTCGGACCGGCGACCAACTCATGGCGGTGGAATGTCGCGACACGTCATACGCCCCGCCGCGTCACGCCTCTCCGCTGCGTCACTGGTGACACGGCAGGCACGTCGTCACCAGCCTCCCCCCCACCCCTTTTTATCGGTCCTATCGGCGACGCCCCGAAAGCCGCGCTAAAACGCGGCCCAAAAAACGGCATGAGTGATGAGCAGCGAGACAACGGCGCGCACGCGAGCCAAACGGAACAAATGGGCAGCTAGCCTCGGCGGCCTGGTTCATGCTTTAATTCGACACAGCGAGCCAGCGAGCTACAGCCAGCGAGCTACAGCCAGCGCCTCGGCACCAAGTCACACAGTCGCGCCACGCGTGGAGCAAGGGCTGAGCAAGGCCAATAGCCTTCAATTTTGAATGAGCAGCGCAGCGCCGCGGCGCAGGCAGGGCCAGGCCGAGCCGGGCTGGCTCCGGGCTCCAGGGGAAGGCGAAGTCGGCCTCACCCCTCGACACCCCCTTCCCCGCGTGATGAAATTCTCATTGCGATGAGTAGATTGGCGACGCCACTCCGACGGGGCCGTCGTGCGGGTCCGGCGCCAGGGCGGCAGGGCTGGCGGAGAGGGTACCCTCCACGTCCGGGCGGAAGCACGGCCAAAGAAAACAAAGCGGGGGTTGGGGAGTACCGCCAGCGACCGCCAGCGGATCGATCCGGCTCGGTCCATATGTTGACGTCGGCCAGCACGCTGCGGAGTGCACGAGAGCACGCCGTGGCGGTGCCGTGGCGGGGCCGTGGCAGGGGTCACGGGCGCGAGCGCGGCGCCAAGGACAGCGCGGGCACACCTCACCTGCAGGGCCTGCCCACCTAAGCGCCGCGACACGCTTCGAGGAGGCCATCCGCAGCAGGCCGACGGGTCGCCGATGGGCCCTTCCACTGGAATCCCAAGGACCCGCGGTGGGGGGCGGCCAGCGGCGGCCAGTGCGTTTGCCGCGTTGCAGACCGCAGCGCCGCTTTCGCCGCGTCCGCCGAAGGGCCGCTCGAAATAGCACGCGCCATACCGCCACGGCGCGGGGCGGGGCGGGGCGGGGCGGGGCGCAGTGCGGCAAGGCTGCATGGCTCGGGCGCGCGATATCAGTGTGTATGCACGCCCACGCCAGTAAAATCAGCCCGTCCGCAGCGGCCTGCCCGGCCTGCAAGGGGTCGCTGCGGTGCGCGTCCGAGACGACGGCCCCACAGGCGGCCAGAGAGCCACCCCTCGGGGCCACCCCTCGGGGCCCCTCGGGCCACCCCGCGGCCACCCTCGGGGCCACCTCGCGGCCACCCCTCGGGGCCACCCCTCGCGGCCACCCCTCGGAGGCCGCGGGGCCGGCGGGGCAGCACACCGTGGCGCGGTGTGGGGTAGGGCGTGGCATGGCGGGGCGGGGTGACCCTCCTCTGCATGGCTGGCTGGTGCAGCCGAAGAAACGCGGCGAGGGGAGGGAAGGGGCGGGACCAGGCGGGGCACCGCAGTCAGCTGACTCCCTGCAGCGCCTGCAGCCGGGGCCGCCGCGACGGCGCGACCGGTGCAAGCGGCAGGCGCCGTGCGGGCGGAGCGCGGAGCAGCGCGGAGACGAGGCGGGCGGAGGGGGGAAGCAGCGCCGACTTCCCCGTCAAGGGAATCAGCTGACCGAGCAGGCGCCGCGTCCGCCGCGTCCGCCGCCGAGCGCAAAGCCAAGCGTTTTCACCTGGTGCACGTCAAGGTCACCGCGCCGCCGCCACCGGCCAAGTGCAAGCAGGCCTCGTGCACGGCGGGCACGGCACTCGGTGCAGCGGGGAGCGGGTTCGAGTCCCGCCAAGGCCGTGTGTCAAAACGCTCCACAGCCCTTTTTGGCAGCCAGGTCGGCGCAGTGACGCTCTGGCACCGCTTCCTGGCCGCGTTTGCCAGAACGACCGCGGCGTCGCCATGCACCCCGCCATGCAGCCCGCCATCCTGCTGCACCACTCGCTGCAGTGCGGTCGCAGCGTCGCGGCTCGCAGCGCGGAATGCGGACTAAATGTCTCAAACGGCGGTGACAGTCGTCCGGGCGAGGGGGCGTGGTGGGGGCAAGGCGCGCGGAGGGGGCGTGGCGAGGCGAGGCGTGGCGGGGCGCAGCGCGGCCGCTCGTTGATTGATCCGCTCATCTTGGACATTGACTATCAAGAAGGTCGCGTGGACATGTGGGAGTTCTAGCGAGCGAGCTAAAGGTGCTTACCGGAGTCAAAATCGGAGTTGCCGACGTTATCCATGCCTCCTTGTCCGTATTTACCTGCAACCACAAAATGGCAGCTGTTAATAAACAACAAATTTGAACCACAATGGTACTAAAATTTCAAAGTTGGATGACAGGAAAGTAGTGCTAGAGAGAGTTTGGACTCCAAGAGTGCCATATAAACAAAGGGACAAAAGTTCCTGGCTTTTATAAAAGGTGGTTGACAATTGTAGCAACAGAAGCATATTGACAGAATAACCATCTTTCCAATGAAATATACATTACGTCACAAGGTTTCAATGACAGCAACTCCCATTCAAATTAATGTGAAATGAGAAACAAGCTTGTTTCAGATTGACCTTGAGATTTTGACAGGGCCAACAGCACAAACAATCTACACTAAGACTTCCATAGCCTCAATAGAGCGACACTTATCATTTATTTTCACTAACAACTGCACTGACAAGTAAATATACTATATAAACACAAATTTTTCCACATAAACACTAAATTGTTTGAAACAAAAAATAAACCTTTTCTCCTCATAGCAGTTCTGTTAGAATGCTGCCCAGGCAAGACAAATGAATCCTCATTCCACAAATAAAAGCCTATCTATGTTAGTCTGAATATAACTAAAGGATCAATATTTTTATTTTATAACTGATGGCTGTCAAAGTTACAATTATCATGGCCACAGCACAACTCCCAGAAGGAGACATGCCGAACAAAACATGCTGCAAACATCTTGGCGTGTCAAGGAGTGTGTCTGGCATACTTAGGCCCTGTCCCTTGAACTGTGAAAGGGCTTAACATCAATGTCAGTAGACCAGACCCATACTTAACCTAGGTCAAGAACAATTCCTTGCGACAACGCTGGGCTATGTTATTATGCAAGTGTCATTTACGCAACGAGGTAACACCTCGGCGACTGTTTCTTTTCACGATCACTGGTTTGAACACAAACTAAAGGGCTAATTTCTTCTGTCTTCACTGCGATAACCTCGGACCGAGCTACGGCCGAGGGCCCTAGAACAAGTCGACAGGAGAATATGGAAGTGACTTCCCCTGTCCTCGGTACTAACACACGCGTCGAACCACTGGTGAGCGTTGTCCACAACGATTAACGCCAACTACACTTCGTTTGACACTAGAAATTGCAAGATATGTGGGTTGGTTACTTCACGCGCCATCTTGAACTGACTTGGCAGGAAGATCCTAGCATTCGCCGAGCCAGAAAACATTATTTAAACAGCCCTCAGTCATTTCTAAAGTGCAGAAAGATACAGCATCAAATTCTACGTGAGCGATGGGCAGAAATCATCTCTTACTTTGACCCTGAGGCTGGTCATCTCCACTCTCGCGGTCCGACATATCCTTCTCCTGAATAGCGATTTAACCCTCGTTTTCACTCCGTCAGAATTTGTTCGTGCGCCCAGGGCCCGGATGTTCATGCACCGGGGCCGTGCGCGGCAAAGTAGTTCCCTCTGAAGCGTGCAGTTTCACTGACGCCACAACAAGGACTGGCTCGCTGTGGGGCGCGGCGGCCAAGCACGTAGACGAATATTAAATAAAGCTCGACTGCTGATGAAAAATGTCACGGCTTTTCTTCTGCTTTATGAGGAAAAGAAAGTCCGAAGGAAGTGACGTCGGGGGCTTCTGCTAAACCCAGGTGCCGCAGAAACAGAGGCGAGACTCTCCTGCTACCCCCACCACCTCCTTTCTCGATATGAGAAAGTTGGCTACACAAGCTGTCATGCTTCTAATAGAAATTTCGCAAAGTGATCGTTTATTGATGTATCTCGTGGGTTTTGAGGCCGAAACTGAACGTAGCAGGGACTGTTTTTATAGACTGCATCATTTTCAAAAAGTCTTTTTAGATTTAAAAAACACCTTCATTTCATGTGTGAATGTTGGTACAACTTCACACAGTAGGCGTAAGTGTGTGTGAGTGTAATGTCAAAGTAGGTTGTCACCAAATTTCGGTAAATAAAACCACTTATCGAGATTTGATGCATGTCAAATATATTTACGTGCAACATTTAGTGTCTTAGTCAATATTTCAGACACTTTTTGAGACCAAACGTTTTTGTGATATTGAATACTTTGCGATCTAGTGCACATGTTTCTGCTTCGGTTGCTGTGTCCTGCCTGTAGCCCAGTTATTGTTATTTTTAGACATCCGATGGAATGACTGAAAACGTGGATTGAAGACAACATTTTATTCATCTCGAGAGAGGTGAACTTGCCAGTCGTCCATCTTCTTATTCGTTTCAAGTTTTTGGCAAGAAATGGAGGATATCTTTCACTGGTGCCGTGAAGGCAATGCTATGCAAGTCCGAGTTTGGTTAGACGACACTGAACATGATATGAATCAAGGGTGAGTGGAGCATTTATGCAAAATTCATTTCGTTTCAATTCAAACTTACAAAATGTGGTTACAGATTTTTTTTTCAAATCTCTAGTTTGTTTAAGGGAAGTGAAGGGAGTGAAACTCCAGTTGTGTGTAGGTGGGGGTTCCTGTGGCTCCCATTTATGGCATCAGTGCCCCTCCCACTTATTTCCTGTTAAACCTTTTGAATTTTAAACAAACTTTTTTCAGTGTTTTCTTTACAATTATTAGCTATCCTTTTTGAGATGTACACTATTAATGCCAAGTGCCGCTGTTGTCTTTGCAAACTAATCACAAAGTTCAGTTATTAGTACTTCATTCCTCTAAGCCCTTTATTTTTAATATTAATTTTATAAATTTTTTCTGCTTTGTCTTCATGGTTTAAATGCTGTTCAAGAAACGTTTTTTATAAACTTGTGCCATTTCTTTATCTTGCAGAGATGATCATGGGTTCAGTCCACTTCACTGGGCAGCAAAAGAGGGGCACTATAAAATAGCTGAGCTTCTCATCCAGCGTGGCGCTCGTATAAATGCAACAAATCGTGGCGATGACACGCCATTGCATCTTGCTGCAGCGCATGGACACAGAGAAATTGTTCATATGGTAATGATCAAACTTAGTTTCACACTCATTGGTTAACCTTCATTTTTAAAGTTCATACTAATCTCTTTGTCCTTTGTTGTAGCTGTTGCGAAATAAGGCTGACATCAATTTCACAAATGAACATGGAAATTCTCCTCTCCATTACGCTTGCTTCTGGGGTTATCAGACTTTGGCAGAGGAACTTGTTGCTCAAGGGGCACTCATAGCTCTTGCAAATAAAGATGGGGACACTCCTCTTGACAAGTCTAGAGGATCCCTTGCTAAGAGATTACATGGTATAGTATAATTCAACCAACTGATTGTCGACTTTCAAAAATTCTTATTATTGATTAATATGCTGCTGTCTCATTCTGTGGTAAATTGATTTCTTTCTTGTCCTCTTTTCAGAAATGGCTGTTGAAATGGGACAAGATTTGAAGAAAATTACTTTCAAGGATCAAAGTTGGCTTGGCTTAAAAACTCGCAGCCGTAAGTTGCATTAGGTTTTGTAACAGATTTTAAAATCAAAACTACTGCTGAACCAGAATTGTAATTTTTGTGCATTGACAGGCGATGCCACACTATCCCGCCACAAAGGCATAAATATTAAGGACCTCCACCTTCAGATTCAGATTGCAACAACCCCATCAGGAGTTACATGGAGAGGCCGTTGGCAAAAAAATGATATTGTTGCCAAGATTCTATCTGTGCGTGATTGCAATGCTCGAGTTTCTAGAGATTTTAATGAAGAATTTCCGAAACTCCGGTAATTATCAACAGTTTATAAGTGGGTGTAGTTTAAAAGTACCTTCTTTGCACTACAAATGCTAATATTGTTCACAGAATTTTCTCCCATCCGAATGTTATGCCTGTAATTGGATGTTGCAACTCTCCACCCAACCTGGTTGTCATTAATCAGCACATGCCTTGGGGATCATTGTACACCCTCCTACATGAAGGCACTGGTGTTGTCGTGGACACTGCTGCTGCTCTCCGCTTAGCAGTTGATGTTGCACGTGGCATGGCATTCTTGCACAGTTTAGAACGCATCATACCTCAATACCATTTGAACAGCAGGCACGTTATGGTAAGTTGTAGAAAGTTTTGCGAAGATGGTTGATTATATAAGAGAAGGTAATGTGGTAGTAGTATGAAGGTAAGCACTAAGTTCCATCCTTTTTATAGATTGATGAAGACCTCACAGCAAGAATAAATATGGCAGATGCTAAGTTTTCATTCCAAGAAAAAGGACGCATTTATCAACCAGCTTGGATGTCACCAGAAGGTAAAATTTTAAAAAAATGTTCTAAAATTGTGAAATTTTGTGATTTGTGCTAAAAATTAATGTTTAATGAACAGCTCTCCAGAAAAAGCCCAAGGAACGAAATTGGGAGGCTTGTGACATGTGGAGCTTTGCTGTTCTTCTATGGGAACTTGCTACTCGTGAGGTGCCATTTGCTGATCTATCACCCATGGAAACTGGCATGAAGGTATTAACAGTAATAAAGTACTAGCATCATTTTTCTTAGAACTGTCTTCGCAACAGCCTATAATTGTTCTTGGCTCTTTTCAGATTGCTTTGGAAGGACTGCGCATCAGCATCCCACCCGGAATTTCACAGCATATGGCCAAAATGATCCGCATCTGTATGAATGAAGACCCTGGTAAACGGCCCACATTTGATATGGTTCTCCCTATTCTGGAGAAAATGAAACGATGAAAACGTTTATGTTTGTTTTGTCATTTTCTATTCAATTTTCTTGCCATAATTTGTTGTAAAATCGCTCATTTTTCACCACTTCATGAATGGTGAGGGTACTGCAAGTTTCTTCACCTTTCTCTTGATGTACAGTAATATTATTTCTTTTCTGTAATGTTAATTTGAATGACACTGCAGAATCAACATAAAAGTTGATTCAAAACTTTGTTTTGTTAATGTATGCATTTGACTAAAGAAATATTTACAATTCATAGAGTGTCACTCAGCTTGGCATGAATGTATTGAATAACTGTTGGTGTGTGCGTGTGTGTGTGTGAGTGCTGTGTGTTTCTGTCAGTCTGTCTGTACGTGAATACATCTTCATTTAGATTCAATAACTGTTTGGTTTTCGTTCACTGGCAGCTGGATCAATTATCCTTACTGGTTTTCTATCTTTGGTTATTGTTTTAACCACTTTTTTAACATCTTATTGAACAATGTCTATCCAGTTCATTCCTTTTAACTGAGTTCCTTTTATAAAAATTTTGCATCTGGTTTGTGGCTTGAACTTATACATGAACATCCTCATGCATTATTAAATACTGTAACTATTGTTGTTGTTTGATCTAATATTTTATTTTGTTTATAGTATCTATTTTTAAAGAAAACTGTCAAATTGATAACAATTTGTTAACTATTGTAACTAACAATGTGTTTACTTAACAATTTTGTTGCATAGATGGTATAACTATTTTCAGTGTCAATTTATGTTTGTCTATTTCTTTTCCTATAGCAATTGTGGATGAGTTAATAGTCATTTTTGTTATTTGGATGTGTGCGGTTTGACGTCCTTCTGCACCAACCAATTTAAGCTTGACTGATAATGGATCATTGGCTTCTTAAGATTTTTGTTTTAGAGATTGAACAATCCTCTGCAAGGTAGTGCAGTACTTCGTTTGTTTGTTTTTTTCTCTTTGCATCCTTGCTTGAACATAATTGTGATTAACTAAACTTCATAAAAGACTTGTAAAAAACTGTGACCCTAATAACCATGTATTTTTGATAATATTCTGCCCAATTACTGCATCAGCTCCATAAGCAGCTTTGTGTTCTTTCAATTTTGTACACCACTTGTACTTGTCCCCAATCTTGACCTTCAATTGACCTTTTGTGTCAAGTTGACGTTATTTTGACACAAAAATGACTGTCCTTCCACCCCAATGAGTAGGTGTCACTATGGGGCCAGTTTGAATTTGGAACAGTCACTCCTCATTATGGAGTCTTTTCCTTGACGTTGCAACTCAGGCCAAGGTCACTCATTCATTTAGAGTTTCCATGTATTAGCTCTAAATGTGGAACTGCTTCAATAATTATGTGTGACTGCTTTTGTACTTATGATTTGTATATAGTTGTAAGCTTGACTGCTGTGAATTGGTGCTTGTTTGTTAATATTTTAAAGGAGATAATTATGTATTTTGATAGATCTGATGTATTCCCTTTTGAATACTATTTTGTACAAACAGTTTAAGCCGTAGCTCTTAAGCTGTTTTGTACTATTGTACATGTACTTAGTTTGAAATAACCATGTCATAGTGATTCGTATCACTGTATTATACAGAAGTACAACATGCTTTAGTGGACCAAAGGAAGTGTAATATTTGTCCATGGATGTTAACTTTCTGACTTCAGCACAATTGCTTTTACTTGTAAATTCTTTTAATAATTTAAACTTGTTTAATGAACTGAGGAATAATCATAAATGAATTGCTTGCTGGGCACAAAAAGTGTACTGCTGAGTCACTCTTAATAACTGTTGTAAGCAAAATTTAAGGATCAGTTTTTATACCTGTTTTTTGATACATGTATTGCTGTTGGTGGCAGATCCAGAAATGGCCTGAGAAGTAGGGGGAATAAAAGGGAGCTGTCTGCCTTCCCTCTTGGCAGCTCATTCATTTGAGGCGCCGGCTCCTCTGGCTTGTCGCCCCACCCTTGCCTGTGGATTGGCGACTGATTGGTATTAGTGTCTCTTTTAAAAAACAATTTGTGCCTTTCATCGTATTTTCATAGACAGACATAGTAATTGTGGATGTAGTGTGAGTCTGAGCTGAACTCTTTAAATATTTTTACCAAAAGTCAAGTGGTCAGTTTGCTTCCATACCTAGAGACTGTTAGAAACTTGCCTAGATTGAGGCTTCTTTAGTGCTCTCTTATCTTTCAATATTCAGTGCTCTACAAGTGCCCACTCCCTTACCAACTTTGATTTCAGTACCAAGTTTGTTTGATTTTGATCATTTTAATCATTGTCCAGTATTACCACTAGGCATGAAAAACTACATTGCGGTAATATAAGCTTCCTATTGCTTTCATAGGTCCAAACTCATAGATTTACATCAGGATGCTTCATAGATTATGTGATGGTAAAGTTTTTGCTTTGCAATATTGTTATCTGTGTTGTGTTGCAACCAACTATGTTTATGACTGTACTTAGTAGTGAGATATTAGGAGTATCAAATACTCTTAACCAGTATTGCTAACATGTTAATTACTACTTGTGTCACTACTTTGATGTTATGTGTGCCTGAATCTACTAAGTTCATTCTATTACTTCAGTACTATTGTATCTTATCTACATTTCACCTCAAAGGTTTTGTGTTCTAAGTGCCTCAATTATCGGGATATGAGCCAGTGGCCCATTATAAAAGAGGTACTATTTGCTTGTGTATAATTGTGGTACTTAGGACATAAACTGACATGATTACTGGAACAGCTTACCCCTTGGTGGCAAGCCAACAAATTAATGGTGCTCAGAAACATAATTATTAAAAATTAATAATTGTTTGCAATTGTGTATGGTTTCAACATTACATTCAACTAAAAAAAAACTTCTTAAGAGTAACTTTTTGACCAATGGTTTGTAGCCTACAAGTTTTGAGGTAACAATGTATTATTGTATGTGATTTTTAACTGCCATTCGTATATGTTAACATTTACTAGTTGTTCTATTCAGGAACTAAAGAAGTAATTCATTAATGGATGTATTTTATTCTTAATCCCTCCCTCAGACAGCATGTGGTAGAAGAGGAAACAATATCATTCAAAAGGACCCAAAATTTGTTTTGACAGTTTTAGTTAGTAGTTCAAAATTTCATTTTGTGTTTCATAGTACCTTGCACATTAGCCATTTCATTCATTAGTTTGAGCTCTAGCCTCTTCTTATCTAGATCTTGCCATCCTTGATTCCATTTACCATAATGGACGGATGTTATAGAGAGTGCTCTCTCCACCACATTTGATGCTTTTTCTAAAACATCTCTGAAAAAGGAGAACAGTGACATGAACTGCCTATAAAAAGAAGTATATTCACAAAATTCTTAAAAATGATAACCACCTTGGAGGAGTTGTTTCCATTGTTCGAATATTGCACATCATTACATCAGATAGTTTCTGAAGTTCATTAGCTATTTCAATGCTGTCAGCTCCATATTGTTCCTCTATAGCTGGCAACATGATCTCCAAATAATTCAAACTCTTGCTATAGTGCCCTAGAGGAAATAAAAAATATGAAACCAAAGCAAAAAATATTTTCTAAAACAAAACACATTTTGGAAAGTTTACCTAACGTAGCATAACATTTTGCCAACATATCATAGGTTGCCGTAAGGTCTTTGTTGCTCCTGTACAGAGCTCGCTCTTGTAATTGTTGACAACGGTTCAAAATATTCAAAGCATCTTGCATGTGACCATCATCCATCAGCTGGCAGCCTAGATTAGGTTTGTTGTTTCATTAAAAGAGTTGTTTGCATAGGCACAGACAGAAGAAAGGTAAGGCTAAGATAGTGTGCGTACCTTCTCTAAACAGACTGAGAGCAGAGAAAGAATCTCGAACCAGATCACTGATGGGCTGATGAGATCCGCAGGTATCACACACCATGATGTGAGAATTCGACAGGTCACTCAGAGCAACTTTACTACCAGCAGGCTCTCGACCAGGAGCTTCATTTATCAGAGGTCCACTGCAAGATGAACATCGGAGAGCCCAAAGACGCTCCTGAACAGGATCAAAGGATTCACCTGGATTACTTGTACAAGCTGAGCAACTACAATGGAAAAAGTATTGAGCTTGAAGGGCTGCCTGTCGTTCAGCTGTTCCCATCCGTTGAAAGTGAGGCCCTGCACAAGAAAGAATAACAAACACATAAGAAACGAAAATATGTGGTGATGTTTAGTATATTACCCACTCACCATAACAGTTGAAAACTTCTTCTCCTTTTGGAATATTCCTACTTGCTTTCACAATCAGCATTTCATTGAAGAAACTGAAAATTATCATTTGCATTAATGTAAAACCACAAAGAAGAAAGCTCTTGTTAATTTTCTTTTTTTAAAAATAAAATCTATTACCTGTTGATAATATTAGGGTTGCAAGAATGATTCATCATGCTGGCAGACGGGTATATGGCTGTGGCAATGCGCTGCTGACTTTCTGACACTACAGTATTACAGTTGTCCACAGACATTTTAGCAGAAGTTCTATCGGAATCTAATTTGGTTATAGCATGAGCATTGCAAACCAGCTGTGCTATGTGCCGCAGAAGTAAAGCACAAACTTGAGCCACAACTCCACTTCCTCTTCCTGCTAATTTATCTTCATCATTGAAATAGTTAGTCTTTTTCATCAGATATAGGGTGAGTAATTCAGCAGTCTGCAATCAAGTCACACATCAAATGACTATTCCATTACTTGTACTTGATGATACTAACAGTGTAAAATTTCACTAACAGCAGTGTATTGAAATAAGTCCTCCTGTGACATATCTTCTACATGAGGGAGAAGTGAATAAACTGTTGAATAAGAGTCCTCAAGGTTTCCAAAAATTCCAGTACTGGAATGAATGAGGTGGGCAGCTGACTGTGACCTGTCTAAAATTTTGTCAGGCAAACCTGTTGTGAGAACTATTCTTAATCCCAGATGGGCAACACCAACAGATGACATTAAATCAATTGCCCCACATTCCCAACGGTGGTAGCTTGAATAGGAAGCCTCCTCACAGGTTTCATCACAGAAAAGAGCATCAATGCAGTTCTTGCATCTGAAAAGGAAATTTACATTAATGTAAAATTTTGTTTGTTTTATTGTTGTTATTTTTTTAAAAGATGTAACCTACGGTACTGGTGCTACTAATGTTCTTGAGCAATGATGACAGTGAATTTTGTATTGATCTGGTAAAACAACAAAAGCATATGGCTTTTCCACAAATAAAATGTCACCCTGCCTGATATCTTGATTTGTCACAACATATCGACCTTTGCTTTCTGAATACCTGAAAAATAAGACCACGTTTAAGTCCTGTATTTGTAACAATAATAAATTGATTTCTGAATTTAGTAATACTTGAGCTCAAGAGCAGAGGATGCAAATGGAAAGTGTGAACTTGGTCCCTTCAACAAAGAGGGAAGCACATCTTGTACAGTCCCTGTCTCTGTTTTATTAGACTCTCCATTCAGCAATTCATCAAGTTCTGCTTGTATTGAATTACACTCCTCCAAGGAATTCCCACTGGTACTTTGAGATATTTCTTCTTTACAGCGCTGAAGGAAGACTTCACAATTTTCAGAATCATTAAGGGACAGGTAGCTGCGAGCTAGACGCAACAGAAGTTTATATTTTAATCTTTCAGGGTATGGCAACGTTAAAGCTTTCTCCGCATCTTTCACACATTCCTGTGAAAATAACAAAACTGATATGAAACAGCTTGAATAAATTCAACATTAAACAATTTTCATTGTCCAATACAGATGGCCTTCAAAAGTCAGTAAATAAACGCACTTTAAATTTTTTCAAGTGGTAGAGAACAGCTGAACGGTTGGCCAGTGCAAGGGCATACTCTGCACTACCATAAGGGGCATATCGAATAGAATCAGTGTACAACATAAGGCTCATGGTATCGAGATGTTTCTTGAATGCCTCATTTCCTTTCGTTCGCAAAGCTGTGGATTCATCTTGAGACTTCGTTGAGCCATTACTCAAACAGAGTTCTATCCATTCATTCAAGTAAGACCTATAAACAGAAAGTGTGTTGCGGAAGGGCTGCGATGAAGTAAAAGGAAGTACGGGATAGAGTTTTAACTGATTTAAATCTTTCAACAAACCCTAGAGAATCGTTCTTGAGGAAGGATTGGACAATACTAATTTCACTTTTTCTATCCACCCCTGAGAAAAGATTCCATTCCTTCGACTTTTTGGTTAGACTGTCCAAAACATTCTGCCATTGCGGTATTTTATTCTTCATAGACATGTTAACCTTGAAGCAAGATGCAAGTGTAATCTTAAATTTTAAGTCATTATGTGAATACGATTGAAGCAAACAGTTGTCAGTACAAAGTTGTACAAGATTTACCCCGCAGAAGTGTAGTGTTGACTCTTCGGGTTTGATGTTTACAACCCGGGCCGGGCGGGGGAGGGGAAGGGAAAGGGGAGGGGACGAAGGAGGAAGTGAAAGGGGCGGGGGGGAATTTTCGCTCGTACCAACCCCCACACGACACGACTTCTTTGCACGTTAGGAAGAAAAATCTCCTTAAATACCCGTATTATAAATCAAACAAAGACTGATGTCATTCGTGATTTTAGTTTCGTCTAACATCTGGTTCCGTTTTCTGAACAGCAAATGAAGATGAATCAGCTTCTCCAGAGGTAAAATGTAAAGCCAGATGATTTTCAGCCATGATTTATTTCGTTCGAGAGGATTGACAGTGTGACAAAACAACAACTGCAACAATTGCTTTTAGATTTGAGCCGATTTGAGACCAGAATTTTGACCAAGCAAGCAGGGTATGGTGGCTTCATAGTGTCAGCAGTTTGACAAAGACAATGGCTCATTTGTGTTAGTGTGTTGGCCACCCTGATTCAGGAGTCTTCGTTGTAAGCCGCTGCTCCTGAAAATGATTAATTCTATTTTTACTTTATAGTGTTAAGGAGATAACGGTCGCGTTTCGCCATCAATAAATGCAGCGCCTGCATTAGTGTGCCCATCATCCACGCATCCGACTCGAGAGCAAGTCATCTCATCAGAAGCCAGAATGACGACGTCGGAAGATCCTCCAGGTATGTCCCAAGCTGTTAGGCTAGTTCCTGTTCCCCGCGGCCCGCAGCTTCTGGATGCAGTTTTCGGCGTCCTTTGGGATTTTGTCGACGGGCAATCGATGCAATATTGGAGATGCTTTGTGCTGGGCCGCAGTCCTGCGTGTTGTGACACGGCCCGCCACGCCTCCTGCACGCCCACGCTCACGCTGGCCGAGCGGCGGCCCTAGCGGCCCTAGCGGCCCTAGCCCTCTGCGTTGTCCAATTCCCCGGACTTCCGTCCGTCCCGCTATTCCCCGATAGTCCAGCCCTTTCGGCACCCTCCGCCCTCGCGTCGTCAAATCCTCCCACGCAGCGCTTGTCTCTAGCTCGATGGCGTCCAGTCTGGAGTCGAGATTTGTAGTTTGGGGGAAGGTTTTATGGTTCCTGCACCTGTTTCTTTCAGCTGGCTTGGATTTGCAGGCCCTTTGGATTCTTTGCTCTGATGTGCACCGTATGTTTTCTTTCAGCTTCAGACAGCCCTGCAGAAGTTACGAAGGCCTCCATTCGTAAAGATACTTGGGCTAAACTTCAGGCGGATAGTACAGTGACTGGGAATATCTACCTGAACCGAATCCCTTATTTTAAGGGTTCGGATGAGGCAGCTCAACGCTTTGCTGAGACTGAAGAATTCAAGAATGCAAAATCAATTTGCATAAATGCTGACAAGGCTCAAGAAAGTGTCCAATACCTAACTGTTCAGGTTTGTTCAGCTAACTTTCAAATTAAAATAAATTGACAGTTGTTTTCACTAAAATTATTTTATTTATCTTTCTTTTAAATTTTTGTTTTTCAGGCAAAGAAGACTCTTCTGATCCAGATTCCACTTTTCATTCGGAAAGGCCTTGTTAAATGCATTCAAGTGCCAGATGACCTTCCCGACGATCAGGTCCAGAAACTTACCACGCGCACTGCCATCGGTGCCCATGGAAAAGTAGTTCCGCTTAGTGATGAACGTAAGGTGGACATAGTTGTCATGGGATCTATTGCAGTGACCAAGCAAGGTATTGTTATCTGATTGACTCGATTTTTTTGTTAATTACAAGTCCAGTGAATGTAGTTTCAACGTTCATGCTTACCGTTTTAGGTCAAAGGATTGGTAAAGGCGAAGGATTTGCTGATATTGAGTATGCCATGATGCAAAAGCAAGGGATGCTTACACCGGACACAATTGTGGTGACCACTGTGCATGACAGCCAGGTATTTAATATACTATAGAATATTTAAACATGTGATGTTCTTAAATTTTTTATTCCAGTTACATCTCCATTTCTTTCACTCTTGTTTTAGGTTTTTGACTCCTTACCTGGAGAACTCTTCAAAGAGCATGATGTGGGTGTCAATCTTATAGTTACTCCAACCCAGGTGATAAGGGTCTCTCCGAATCCACCCAAGTCTTCTGGTCTGAATTGGAGCCTTCTCTCTAACCGTCGCTTGAAGATCTTCCCCATATTGCGCCAGCTCCGTGAGAAGGACGTCAGGTATGCTCCCGGATCTTCCAAGATTTGCGAATGGGTCTCGTAGGTTCGTTCACTCGGGGGTCTTTAACGTTCACTTGGTGTTCCTCGTAGTGCTGGCGACACCTCTGAGCTGAAGGAGGACTCGGACGTGGAGTCCCGGCCCCGCCGCCCCCGCCGGCTGCCGCCCCGGCACTTCCGCTCCCGCCCCCGCTCCAGCACGGGCGGCGACGGCGAAGTCGGCGAGGAGCACGGCGAGGACCAGGAGCGCACCCCGCGGCCCCGGCGCGCGCGCCGCCCCCGCCAGTCCAAGTCCGAGGGTGACGAGGAGGGCGGCCCGAGCGGCACCGAGGGCGAGGGCACGCCGCGCAAGCCGCGCAGGCCCCGCAGGTTCCCCGGCCAGGCAAGGTTCCCCGGGCAGGGGCCCCGCCAGCGCAGCCAGCGCCGAGACACCGAGGACGGACAGGTACGGCTGTGGTGACTGGCGGCTAGGCTGCCACCAGTAAGTTGAAAGGCCCCCTGGATTTAACTTGGTCTTCCCCCCTTGTCCCAGGAGGGTGAGCCCCGTCCGCGTCGCTTTGGGCGAGGCAGGCCACGGCTTCCAGTCGACTTCAGCCTCCGCGTGGGCAACATTGCCTCCGACGTGCGTGTCCGAGACCTCAAGACCGCCCTGGCCGAGTGCAAGGTGAAGCCAGTCAACATCAAGTGGTTCGGCCAGAACGGCTTCGCTCTGCTGCACTTCGCCAGGTTGGTACTCCGCCAGCACTTGGCGTCGCTCCTGTCCTTTGAGGGCGGATAGTGTTGTATGTTTGATTTGTGACTGCAGGATGGAGGCCCAGGCTGGGGACGCCCCTGCCAACAACGTGGATGGCGTACTGACAGCACTGCGTGACCTCAAACTTGCTGCTGCTGAGGGGGATGGTGTCACTGTAGAACCCTTGACTGCTCCGGTCACCAGAATTGAGGTAACCAATGAAATAACAGCGGTTTAAGCGAAGGAAAGAAGAATTTAACACTTAATTTTATTTTCTTATTTCTTAATTTGTATTTTTCTCATAAGATTTTCATTTGAAAATGTCAAATGCACTCCCCTAATTACTGCTTTTCCATTGGATTTTTTTGTGGATCTGCTTTATGTTCATGCGCTGATCACATTTTTGGGAATGTTCTGTGGCTTGCACTTCATGACAAAGAATTCACTAGCCTCCACCTTCCTTACTGTTAGTTTGTAAGTTTCATGTTTTGTTTTCGTTTGTTTGTTTAGTTAAAAGATTTTTCTTTAAATTTTTTTTGTTATTGGTGCCATTGTTCATTGTTAATTCTCACAAGATTACATTTTTTCTTTTCCTGTATGGCGCTGAAATGATTCTAAATTTTGTTAATCGTCGTATAAGCAACGTTTTTTGGGACATTTAAAAAGGCTGTTGTTAGTACTTATAAGGACCTAGAAAGATGTACGTTTTCTATCTTTCTGTGCTGTACTAAATTATTTGCGTGTTTTTCTTTTGTTTTTCTCCTGTGAAAGTGAATTTACTAATTGTTAACATGTCTTGTCTGTTTCCTTTTTCTGTGATTTTTCTTTTAGCATCATCTAATTTGGCTTTATGCCTCAAGTATTTATTTCATGTGCAATGGGGCCTCAAGAGACACTTACATATGCATGATATGTAAGTCAGTCTCCTACCCTTCATAGATCTTTTCTAAATATTTATTTAAAAATTATTAGTATTTATGAATTAATTTTTTGTCGCATATTTGGATGGTAATGTAGAACTATGCATACATATCAGACCCAACTTTGTATGCAAGGATTATTGGATCAGTTTCGAACATCACCATTTCTATGAAATCAGGTTCACACATGTAGCAATTTGCTACTATTTTGGCTTATGTCAATCATTGAACTGTTTTGGTATTTTAGAAACCTGTATGTTTCTATCCATCCGATTTTGTTGATGTTTTTCAGCCTCCCTCTTGCTTTATTTTGCTCTTTTTTTTACTGGTTTGACATTTGTGGTTGAAGACACTTCTCCACTTCTAGTTTGTCTCTCAATGCAAACGGATTTATTTTGGCCTCATGTGTGAATGACTGGTCTTGCAATCTATCATGGTATCATTTTCTGTTTGAATGCGAGACATGACTTACCATGATAAGAAACTTGCAAGTCCTCATTTCCCCGTATTGTTGTGGTTTTGTTATTTACATGTGTGTTTGTGGCTTGTTTATTCATTATGACCTGTGTCGATATGCTTAGGGGTGTTAAACCTCCACTACCTGACATGAAGCTTTCCTGTTGCTTTGCCTTCCAAATGGTAACCTTCCTCTTTTGACTTGAGTTGCAATGTACACAATCTGTGTCCAACATGTGATTTATTAATTGTTGCTAATATTCTCTGAAGTTTATGCTTGTATCATAGTATTATTGTGTATTTTTGTATCATTGCCAGGTTTGTGTAGCCAGTTGTAAATTTGTAGTTAGTACAAAATCTGGTGAAAAAAATATTTTGGGTTTGACTTGCATTTTGATAATTACTATTCTGAACAATGTTCTTTATTCAATTTTCAGTTTCCTGCGTTTTGCAGGGACTGAACTTATTTGCAGTCTTCCTGACTAGAATCAGCCATTCAGCCAGATCTTGCATCAGAAATGGAATGTATGGTTAGGTTCTAATTGTTAGTGTGTGCTGTTTTCTCTAGCAGCATGCTTGGAAATTACAGCAGCTCAAATTGACCTGAGGAGGTTTTCTTGTTGTAAACATCAGTTATTTATGTTACTAATATGTGAAGATGGAAACTTTGCAGTGTGGTATTTTCTGTGTGTAAGATCATTAATTTCCCAGTAAATACGCCAAAAAAATGTTAATATTCCAAGTACAAAAATTTTGTGACAAAGACATGTGGTTCTGTAATGACCACAATATTTTTTTTTCTCTAGATAATATTTTTATTGTATCATTTTAAGGAAATTGACTTTATTTTGGGGGCTAGCGGTAATGCAACATTACTTATGAATGTTTAGTTTGTTTGCAATTATTTCGTGTGTCACTGGAAGTTTCTACTTGCAGTGTGCTGCACATGTGTGAAAATCTTTCTGAATTACTATATTTTTGTACTATAAATTAGTCAGTTTTGAAAGTTATTTCTTTGCTTTGTTTTTCAGTTTAAGAATTCTATAATTTAAAATTACAAAATTGTGATTCAAAACAGGACTTCCAAATTGTGAATAAAAGTTTGATCTATGCAAAAAGTTAAAGGAAAGTTGTGCTTTACTTGCATTCACTTGTTCCCTACATACCTCAACTGTGCGGCCCTAATAATTTCTGAGTAAATTGTGTTGTTGACTAACAATGAAAGAACTCTCAATTAGCATCGCAATTTTGGTACTTTATTTACTCCTGCAGATTAAATTGATAAAAAATATGTATCCTATATTTTTAATCAATTACTGTACAGATACACATCACAGTATAAAGCCAACATTAGCTTTCAAGAATAGGTCAATTATAAACTATGCACCATGTACAGGAGAACATTACCTACTTCAACAAACAGCAGGGACAACAAGACTTACAAGTAATTTGGAACATGGGAATCACTTCATTAAGAGTTAAAAAGGAAATTGCACTCTTTCATTAGGGAAATCATCCTGCAAAACTCCGATACCCCTCAAGGTTTTCGCCACGCGGATAAATGCTGCACTAAAATTCCAAGGTTGAACTATGTCCAGGGCATGGGTAATATGGTAAAATGGAGGTGCTACAGGATCACACCCTTTCCAGCTATCGGGTTTCTAGTAAGAGAGTGCGAGAACCGTAACTCTGCGCCTGTTCTACAAGGAAAGAATGAAAAGAGATAGGGGGAGGGGAACACTGAATGGGTGTCGACGAGTCTACCGCCCGGCATTCACTTGACGGACGCCCTGCCGTTCTCCCGGCCCTCCCTGCCCGCCCCGCCGGCCTTGTCCAGGTCGCGCGCGCCGGGGCTGCACAACGAAGGCGACGGCGAGGAGGGCGCCGCCGAGTCCAGGGTGGGCGATGACGATATCCGGAGCTGGCTCAGGTCGGGCGGCTGCGGGGAGGGGCTGGGCGTGCTGCCGAGGTTGGACAGGTCCGACGAGAAGCTGGCCAGGTGCGAGAGGCACTGCTCCAGGTGGCCGCGGCCCAGGACCACCGCCTCCTCGGCGGGCTGGTCTTCGGCCTGCAGCGGGTCGGTGCCGCAGCTGCCGCAGGCCCTGACGGCGGCCTCCTCCTCCGCGGTGCGGAACACGTCCCCGGGGCTGGGCGGCGGCGCGCTGCTCGCGCTGCTGGTGGCGGCCTGCAGCGCTGGCGGTCCTGGCGGCCCTGGCGGTGCGGCCGGCGGCGTGCGCGCCACGTGCGGGCTGCTGCTGCTGCCCCTGCTGCGCGCGCTGCCCGTCCGGCCGCCCCCGCTGGCGGCGCTGGCGGCGCTGGCGTGGCTCACGTGGCTGGCGTGCGAGCACTGCGACCCGCTCGACGACAACCTGGACGGCCGGTGCGACTCGTCCTCCGCGTCGCTCGCGCTGCGCCGGCTCACCCTCCTCGACGACACGCCAGACACGGTGAGCGCCGACGAGCTGGGCGGCGTCCCCGAGTTGGGCGTGGCGGGCGTGGCGGGCGTGGCGGGCGTGGGCGGCGGCGTGGCCGTCGACGAGGGCGGCCGCACGCACGTGCGCGTCAAGCCCTGGGCGCTCTCGCCCTCCGCGCCCTCCGCCTGCGCACTGCAACAGTCGCCAGGCACAGGTCAAGCATCTTCGCTGAGACATCTCTGCAAATACAGCGCACGTTTCCTAACATTTTAAATTCATGAGTTTGTGTTTGCGCAAACTGAAATCCTCCGTACAACGTCGGCAAGGCGGCAGCCCAAACGAGGGCGCGTTGAGCTCCGCATCATGCTCCGCATGGCTTTGGGCCGTTGGCTGGCTTACCCGGACTCGCCCATGGCCTGCAGCAGCTCCTGCTCCCACGCCTGCTCCTTCTGCTCGCGCTCCTTGCGCGCCATCTCTCGCTCGCGGTTGAAGGGGATGAAGTTGGGCAGCAGCAGCTGCGGCGACGGCATGTCGGCGGTGGGCAGGCCGTCCTGCACGCAGGGCTGCGGGACGACCAACGACGAGAAAGGTCAAGCCACTGGCAAAACTGAGGCGGAACACAGCGCCTGTTCAACGCGTTGCCCAGCCAACAGGTCGGCAGTGCCAGCACTCACCTCCCGGATGGACCGCTGCTTCGCCAGGCGCTTCTTCTTCTTGTGCAGCGGCCGCTGTTCGATGATCATCTCCTCCAGCTCGTGCGTGGGGTCGCAGTTCAGGTGGTCTCTCTGTTGCAGGGACGACAGGATTCAGATTAGCATTCACCAGGGCGTTAAGTCGGACAGTAGGACGGCACTGATCGCTCACCGGGGGCGTGAACGTGGGCTTGATCTTCTTGTGCAGCACGGCGTCGAAGTCGACGTCGGCCATGATGGGGACCTTCTTGAGCTCGGACAGCGAGCTGATCCGGGCGCCGGGCCGGGAGCAGAGTAACTGCAACAAGCAATCAAGCGGCGTGCATACCAGTCAAACCGGTGCATTGAAAGGGATCGAGTTCCCAACCGAGTGCTCGATCCCATTTACTTCTGCAATCCCCGACGCACTTGTGCACGACCCCCTCTCCCGTTCCTCCACCTGGCCGGCCAGATCAACGTCACGAAATGGAAGCAAACAGAACATGCCCGGTGGGTTTAAGTTTCCCCCGACTGCGCCCTAGGCAGGCTGGCAGGCACGTGCAGAGGCCACTCCTTCCGGGAAGAGAGGGGTGGGGCGCCGCGCCTGCGGTGGGGGCGGCAAGACGACGAAATGATGACTTTGACAAGGCCCTCACTGTCGCGGGAAAAAAAGAGGGCAGAGAGTTTGATTTTCAGGGTAGTCTTCCCCTTCCACACAGACACAGACACGCGCGCGCGCAGAAGCACGTAGCGACCGACCGACCGAGCGCACAAATAAATGATGCGGGCGATGATTACACCGCGAGGCCGCCACCGACACACACGAGCTGAAAATTTGTTCCGCTCCGTCCTCGTCCAACCGGTCCAACCCCTCTCCCTCTCTTTCTCTCAATATCTCCCTCGAAGCGCCGCGGCGCGGTGAAAAGCCACAGGCGTGGCGGGGCGAGGGGATGGGGCGTATAAAAGGTGGCGCGTTGGCCGCACCACTTCAAAGCGACGGCGGATCCGGGGCACCGCGGGATAAGCACACACTTTTAAAGTGTATCACGTGTCGAAGGGGGGCGCGCGTGCCGGGGCCCACCCCAGCGCCCTCAAGGTGCTCGTCCTGGCCTCGTCCGACGACCGCCACAGCCGTGAGCGCCCGCCGGCCGCTGGGTAGGCCACGCGGCGCGCTGGCGAGCGCAACGGGACTGCCTACCCTGCGGTCGGCAGGCGCTCTCCTCTGCCTCAGCAGCCTCGGCACGGTGATCGAGTCATCCTCAGCCTTCACCCACGTGGGCCTGCCCCCACCCCCTTCCCCTGCGCACTCATGCAGCACGCGGCGTCCGCGCGGCGCTCCGTCCCCGCGTCTCGCAGTGAGAGTGACAGAGAAGGACATGGCTGGAAAGGGCCTCCTGGGGGAGGGAGGGGAGAGAGGGTTGAGTGTGTACACGGGGATATTGCCTAAATCGCGGAGGCGCGACAACAGCTTCATCTTGCTGCTCGCGCCACCTGCGGCAGGTCCTGGAGCCAGGCAGTCAGGCAGGCAGTCAGCCAGGCAGGCAGGCAGCCCAGGGCCACGACGGGGGGCAAGGCCGGAGACGCGGCCTGCCTTGTCGGGCTGCATAGCGCGGGAGGAAATGCCGGCCGCGTGTTGGCGACGTCGCTCGGTGACGTCACTTTCCCGGAGTTGTGCTGGCGGCCGGGCCGAGTTGGCCGTGACTCCGAGCGCGGGGGTTTGGCGGGTCCAGCCCCGCGGCCCCGCCCTCCGGGGATTCTGGACGTCGCGGGGATCCGGTGTCAGGACTTTGCATTGCAGGCCCGCGTCGGCCGGCTCGGCGGGCTCGGGGCGTTCCGAGGGGCGTTCCGAGGGGCGTTCCGAGGGGCGTTCCGAGGGGCGTTCCGAGGGGCGTTCCGAGGGGCGTTCCGAGGGGCGTTCCCTGCGAAAAGGGCATGCCGAGCAGCAGCACTGGCTTTTGCTTTTATCCCGGGCGGCGGTCTCGAGGGACGCCACGCCGCCACGCTGGACACGCGCGGCCGGGCAAAGCCAGGCACGTCTGCTCTCTGTAGACATTGTGGGCCTGGTCGGCCCGGCCCGGCCCGGCCCGCCTGGTCCACGTCGTGACGTGGCCCACGCAGCACCCTGCTTTGCACGCCCCGCCCCGCCCCGCCCCGCTGCTTTGCTTTGCCCCGATCGCGGATTCTCGCCGCTTCCATTTCCATATAAATTACTTGGCCTTTGGCGCGGGCCGACACGGCGTGGTACGGCACGGCACGGCACCGCCTTTGGAGCGCGTCGCGTCTTCTGCCTGCCGTGGGGCCGAGGGGCGTGGGCCGTGGGGCCGAGGCGGGTGGCGCCCTGGCCAACATCCCCAAACAAAGACGAGGCCACCTTTGAGACGCAGTGCCGCCGAGAACAAACCGGCGGTGCTTCCCTGCGGTCCGATTCCGAGAGTCGGTCTCGTCGCTCTGTCTCTCTCGCAGGGTGCTCACCCTGCTCAGCAGGTCCACGAAGGGGCGCGACATCCAGGACGGGTAGTACACGCCGGCGGCGAAGAGGGAGCGCACGTCGCTCAGGTTGGTGGCCGTGTGGATGTCGAAGGGGCGCACGCCGCGCGCGCACTCGTACGCGCACACGCCCAGCGACCACCAGTCCACGGGGAAGCCGTAGCCCACGCACAGGTCGGCCGCGCAGTCGAAGATCTCCGGCGCTGCAACAACGCCAACAACAACATGAGCAACAACAACAACAACAACTGTAGTAATCTTCCGCGCACAACGCCATCAAGTTGTTTATTGGCGGCCCCCTGCGGGAGTCGAAGCGCCACTCAAAGTCTTCCTTATTACTTTTCTTTCTCATCGCGAAAGTTTTCATTCGTTGATGGGGGAACAACAGTATCTCTTTTTAGGGCAGCAGCTAGTGGGGGGGGGGCCTCGCTCGCAGCTGCACGGACTCGGCTTGTGTGGACGCCGAACTGGTTCTCCGCGCTGTACGCCGCACGGAACGAGAAGTGACACCAAACCGATCGATCCGCTGCTTGTGTTCGTAGCCCCTGTCACATCCTTCCTTCCCGCGACAAGCATTTTCTTTGCCGAGGCGCGGCGGCGCGGCGGCGCGGCGGGGTGTTGGGTGCACGTTCTGCTGATGTTGGCGATACCAGCCACTTCATGGGGCTGTCCTACTTGCTCGGCTCGGCACTTCTCAAGTATCCTTCGGCGACCGAGTCGTCGTGGTGCTCGTCGTCGTGGTGGTCGGCGTGGTGGTCGTCACCGTGGTGGTGGTCGTTGGCGGCGGTGGTGAGGCCGGGCTTACCGCACGCTCGCCCCACTTGCTGCCTTTGTCCCGCGAGCCTCGCCGGGCCTCGCCTGCCAGCCCTGTCAGTCCGGCCCGTTCCGCCGTGACCACCCTACTGACGCAAAAAATATCCGTCGTATTGTGCGGATGAAGTTTCTCGTTACATCCCCTATTCTCGGCAAAACCCCGCAGCGGGCAAAAAAAGGAGGAAAAAGTGTCCTGTCAAACATTCCTGTGGACACCTGCAAAAAGGGCACGTCCGCCAGCTCCAGGTTCCAGGGCCGGACACGCTGGAAGGCTGGAAGGCTGGACTCGCATGGAGCAGATCGCCGCACCGCCAGAACCAACAACAGCCCAACCCCGCGCCCCGCCTGGCCCCTTCTCGAGACACATTCAATATTTACCGCCTCTTCCATTCCGCGGGGTTGGCTTAGGTTCGGCACGGTTCGGCACTCGCTGCCAGTCTCTGTGCGCGGCTCGGGGCACAGTGGGCCAGACGACCGGCGCAGCCGGCCAAAACTTTGGACGCGTTTTGAGCCCCAGAGTGAGCGACGACGGTTCGGCGTCCAGCATCCCAGTCCTGGTCTCATGCAAACTCACCCATGTATGGCTTGGTCCCAGACATTGACGTGGCGAGGTGGCCCTCCTCCAGGACGGTGGCGATGTTGAAGTCCGTCAGGTGGGCGTGGCCTGGAAGCACAAGAAGCCGTGTCACCGCGTGCCGTGGCGCGCCGTGGCGCGAGGGACGAGAAATAAGGGCGGACAAAAAAAATGTCGATAGTGGGTGGCGTAGCGGCGGACGGGGCGGACGGCCAGACGCAGGGCAGCAAGCCACTTGCACTACGCGCCGCCACGCCGCCACGCCGCCACCGGGATCGAGGAAGGGCGGGGCGGGGCGGGGCGGGGCGGGGCGGGGCGGGCATCAAGATTAGGAGGGAGTCTGGGGGGAGGCGTCGATGCAGGGCGACGCACGGGGCACAAAGGCGGCCCTACAGGCCTCCGAGCGGTACCCGGCCGCCCGGCCTCCCTCGCACCCCGACGTGCCCCGACGGACCGTCCCGTGAGTGCGAGGGAGACAGACAACGCGACGAGACACTCCGCCACCAGCTCGTCTATTGGCGGCCAAGCAGCGGCGCACCGAACTGGCCGAACCACGCACGGTGAAACCATCCAGGGAATGAACCGATATTCCTGGAAATCCCACCGCGGCGGACTCCAACAAAACTTTCGAATAATTGGCCGGCCGGAGGGAAGCGAACACCGCGAATCAAAAGCAGGAGCAAAATGAAGCGGCCGCGGTCTCTTTTTCTCTGCGGCCCTAATCCCGCGCCGAGGCAGTACAACGCACATAATGGCAGCCCCGCCCCGCCCCGCCCCACCCCGCGCTGGACGCCTGCCAATGCTGCAGCAAGGCGGGGCGGGGCCTCCATCGGCGTAGGGTTTCCCTTGCGGCGTAGTGTTTCAGCCCGTCTTCCAAGTGCGCCCTTCCCCTCCCTTCCCCTTTACCTTGCGTCCCGATGCCGTGCTATTGGCTCGCACGACGGCCTAGGCCGAGCACGACTTCAACCGCAGCTGCGCAGCGCCCGGCACGGCCCAGCAGCCAAGCGATCAAACGAATCGAATCGCTTTGCGCGCCACCGCCGCGCACGTGTGTTGGTGTGCGTGCGTGCGTGTGTGCAGTGCAAGTGTGTGTGTGTGTGAGAGCGTGTGTGTCCGTGCGCGGCCCGGTGCGTGGAACCCTTGATTGTCACACGCCGCGCACTGTCCGCGTTGCACTGTGTGCTTTGGCGCGCGCTGCCTTATTGACTGCGGGGCGTGGCGGGGAGGGGGAGGGGGGACCATCAATCAGCACCCGCACATGCCCCGCGCGGCGAGGCGGAAGGGCACGGCACGTCAAGACTCGGAAAAGAGAGAGACAGAGCCCTCTCCGGCGAGCGCCGTGCGGGTAGGCAACCGGCCCCGGCTCCACACACGGGTGCGCGCGCGCTGCCCGCCTGCCGGGCGCTCTCTGCGAGCTTCAGGCTCGGAGCCGCTCTCATCGACAACTGGAGCCGAGCTGCAGACTGATTCCGACCGTCGCACTGTCCTCTGTCTCTCTCGCACTCATGGGGCGTCCTACGGGCGCGAGGGAGACAGACTCTCGAAACGAGTGTGCTGCTTGGAGCGGCGTACGGCTTGGCGGCGACGACGCCGAGGAGCATTGTGGTGTGTGCACTCGGCGCCGCGGCCCCGAAGCGGCCCGAAGGCCCGGAGGGTACTGTGCCGCCGCAACTTAGTTAATTAGCCGACTTTAATTAATTACTTGGACTTGTGCACGCGTGTCATCGGCAGCATCGTCATTCCGCACCTGTAAGGCGAGGGCCCGAAGGCCGGCCGAAGTTGGCCCGAAGGCCGGCCGAAGTTCACCCGAAGGCTGGTCCGACGACACTCGTCCGAGGGTCCATCAGCCCGCAGCACCCCTAAGCGACTCCCTGAAGGACGCCATTGGGGCCCGGGCCCGGGCTGTCTGAAGGACGTCGGACAAACCCGGGCCCTTCTCCCGTTGCATCGGCACACCAGCCCAGCAGCCCCACTCCGAAGGGGCGTTTCGCCGCTCTGTCTCTCTCGCACTGATGGGTCGCCCCGCAAAGGTGCGAGAGAGACAGAGCTGCGAGATCTCGGCAACAGCCGGGCGGGCGGGCTGCACACACAGCCCCTTATCCCAGCCGGCGCAAGGCGCGCAGGGCAGGCAGGCCGGGCAGGCCGGGCAGGCCACGGCCCAAACTTGAAACCCTTCGAGGCGTGAAGGGCTGCGAGGGCGGCGCGAGGCGCGGCGAGGCGCGGCGGCCCGGAGAGTGGTTCGGGTTCATTCACTCTGCTTGAGGTCAAGACGGAGCGGCCCGCGGACCCTCGCACACGCCGACTGGACTTGGACCGACTGCAGACCGATTCCGAGAGTCGTTTTCGTCGCTGTCCCTCACGCACTGATAGGGCATCCCGATCCGGTGGGTGGGAGACAGGCAGACAGACAGACAGACAGACAGACAGACAGACAGACAGGCAGACAGACAGACAGACAGACAGACAGACAGACAGACAGACAGACAGACAGACAGACAGACAGACAGACAGACAGACAGACAGACAGACAGACAGACAGGCAGACAGACAGACAGACAGACAGACAGACAGACAGACAGACAGACAGGCAGACAGACAGACAGACAGACTGACAGACAGACAGGCAGACAGACAGACGGAGCGACGAAAACGACTCTCGGAATCAGCCTGCTGGCTAACTGGACTGACTGGCGCGCTTCCTCGTGCGGGCCTCCCCCCGCCCCGCTCCGCCTGCAGGCGAAGAAGAGAGAGGAGAGGCGACGCTCGGCACGCTTCGCACGCTGCGCACGCTTCGTTAGTCCGGGGGTCACATTGTGTTTGAGGGCGCCGGGCTGCGCCGGGCTGCGCCGCGCCGGCCGGGCCATGCCGCGACGCCACGCTCCATTTCGGCCCGTTTGGCCGTGCTGTGTCTCTTCTTCTTTATCTTCGTGGAGATGAAACGATTTGGCGGACATCGGGCAGCCTCCCTCCGCCCCGAGCCTCGCGCTCCCCGCACTCCGGCCGAGTTGGCCAACCCGCTCCGTCCCCTCACGGCCGAGCGGCCCGGCCAGCTGTTGACCGCCACCGCCCCCCCCCCTCCCCGCAGCACGCGACTTCAGTCACAAAGACGAGTCGGACCCACTACACTACACCCTCCCTCCAAAGCCGAGGGGGGAAATAAAGTAAATGCAGCTGCCGTCGTTTGGGATAAATGAAAAAAAAAGGGCGGGGGAGAAAGATAATAAAAAAGAAAAGAAAAGTGTATCGTGTGTGCCCGAGCGATGGGCTAATGGAAAGAAGGCAAGGCACATGAAGGACGGGATAAAACCTACAAAACATCAAAGAGGTGGACACAAAAAAAGGGCCGCGGATAAAATGAAGAGGCAAGGCCGGGTCCTTGGCAATCGATATACACAACGGAGCGTGTTTACAAACGAGCAACGAAATCGGATCAAAAAGGGGAGCGGGAAGAGAGAAAAGGCAAAAAAGCGCAACATTCGGAGGGAAAACGAGGGCGGTGGAAGCAGCGCGGGGCGTCTGCCAGTGTAGGCGCTGATCGCGGCGCCGCGGCGGTGCGGAGAGACAGCACTCTCCAACTCGGAGCCGAGTGATCGCGGCGGAGATACGCAACTATCCCCATCCTCGTCCGACCCGCGCGCTGCCGCACTGCGTCGCGCTCTGTCTCGCTCTCGGCGCCGCGCAGCGCCGCGCGCCAAGCGATTTGGTGGCGATGAAAGGGCGGGGGGAGGGGGTGATCCCTCCGCCGGAAGTGTTCGACACGGAATGGAGGCGCGAAACGCTACTCACACAGCGGTGTAGGGGAAGAGCCGAGAGAGAGACAGAGAGGCCGCAGGAATGCTTTGTTAGAGCGAGGGGAACAGAGACAGAGCGATGCATCCCCCTTTGTGCAGGCGGCAGTGCCACGGCGAGGCGGCCCAGGGGCCCGGGGCGGCGATGCAAACAAAGCAGACTAAGTGTGTACTCACCCTCCTCATCCAGCAGGATATTGTCAGGTTTGATGTCCCTGCAACAAGAGAGAGGCGGAGGTGAGAGACACGGAGCGACACGCAGTGCGAGAGAGACGACGACGGGGGCCTCGTTGTCGCTGGAACTGGGGGCGCAGTGTCGGCGCGCGGCCCCAACGACCGAGACCGATGTCATTGTTAAAAGCCGCCACTACCGGAAGTCAAAAAATGTTGGCACTTCATGAATTTCAAATCACACACTAGCATACGCTTGTCGATGTCAAGGCTGCTTGTTATGATTCCCAACGGCGCGTCAGAGGGCCTCGCCTCGCGCCGTGTGTCCTGCGCGGGGCGGCGCCGGCCAAGAGTGGAGCCTAGGATGGCGCATACCGTGCGTAGGATGGCGCGCTTTATTAAATTTGTTTTGCTGGGACGAGGCCAGGAGCCAGTAGGCGAGCGACGCGCTACGCAGGTCGCGGCGTGCGCTCTCTCTGTCTCTCTCTCTCTCTCTGCCCTTCCTGGCGAGTCAGACTGTCATTCCCTGCGACGGCACTGACGTCTTCCCTGCTCCCCCTAACGTTAACGGTGTCTGCGACCTCGCCGAGCCGCGCGACGCGACGCGACCCGCCCAGGGGAACCGAAACAACTTCCAGGTTATTATGTTGATTATTTGGAAATATTGGGGATTATTTGAGCGCCGACCTCGGAAAGCTGTTAAAGTGTCGGAACATCAATATTGGTGACTTTGGGCAGCCACTGCGTCAAATTTAGTTGCGGTCATAGGCCTCCCTCGACGCCTTACTATTATGAAGACCCTACTCTTTCATGCCCCGCCTCGGGAAGGCTTTGACCGCTGATTGTTTGGAGCAGCGGCCCTCGCAAAATGGTCAAAAGTGAATGAATTTCAGAAAATTACCGTTTTTGCTGACTTTGAGCGGTCACTGCATCCAATTTAGTTGCGGTCAAAGGCCTCCCTCGACGCCTTACTATTATAAAGACCCTACTCTTTCATGCCCCGCCTCGGGAAGGCTTTGACCGCTGATAGTTTGGGAGCAGTAATCTCGCAAAAATAGTCAAAAGTGAATGAATTTCAGAAAATTACCGTTTTTGCTGACTTTGAGCGGTCACTGCATCCAATTTAGTTGCGGTCAAAGGCCTCCCTCGACGCCTTACTATTCTGAAGACCCTACTCTTTCATGCCCCGACTCGGGAAGGCTTTGACCGCTGATAGTTTGGGAGCAGTGGTCTCGCAAAAATGGTCAAAAATGATTGAATCCCCGAAAGTATGATTGTCATTTCATTGGATGATGTTGATTTTTTCACTGATTACCAACTAGACGTGCAATGATTATCTTGAGTTGGGTACCCCTTGCAAAAAAGGCTGAAAACAAAAATAAAAATAAGAAAGTGCGGTGGACCCTTTCGAAGGGTATTCGAATGTGTCGCCGGGTACAGAGGGGGGCTAGGCGGCCACGGTCTTCGCCTCCCACGGGACGGGACCAGAGCCAGCAGGCAGACCGAGCCGAGCCTTTCCGGGGCGAGCCGAGCTGCAGGGATCTGCGCGCAGAGCGGCGCGGAGGTACCGAGTCCTCGTCCTTCTCGTCCTTCTCGTCCTTCTCTCCGGGAGTCGCAAGCGGAGCGAGCCGGAGCAAGCGGAGCGCAGCAGTCCTCAGAGCCTCGCTGCACGCGGCGTATTAACGAGGACAGCCACTGCCAAAAGTTTTGTTCATCAAGTTAACGGCGGCGGAGGATTTACCTCCGAGCCGAAAATGTGGGCGTAGTCCTGCACGCGCCGTGGCGCCAGTGTAGTGGTGTCGCCACGCGGTACCGCCACCATAAACAACCTGCATATGGCATCGTTACTTCGCCATTATGACATAGCGACGCCGTTTTGTGCATGTGCTCGCTGCGTCTGTCTGTCTGTCTGTCTGTCTGAGTAAAGTATTACCGAGGTCGAAAGCCACTCCAAACTAAAATAAGCGGAGCGATGGCAACATATTCTCACAGTGCGTCGCATCGAGAGCCGCAAATACTAACGGGCTGGCTCGGCTGGACGCGAGGGCTCTCCAGTGCGGCCGCGAGAGCGAATGAGAGAGAAAGAGAGAGGGAACGAGGCCGAGTGAGGGAGGAACCAGGCACCACTGACCGACCGACCTCCCATTATTGCTCCCTTCCGCCGTCACGTGCAGGCTGGCAGGCCGGCTGGCCGGCAGGCCGCTCAGGGAGAGGGCGCCCGGCCGCGCCCAGCCGGCCGGCCTCTCTTCCTGGTCCTGCTAGGCCTGAGGCAGCCCGAGGCTGCACGCGAGTGGGCCGTCCGGCTAGTTTGGCGGACAAAGCAACAAAGCCGAGTTTTCGGGACACGACACGCACTGCCGCCGTCACTTACCCCGGCGTGGCCTTCCCTAGGGAAAGGCAGGCAAAGGCGACCCTCGACACCGCCACACTGCCACGCCACTGCTGGCCCTTGTTTGAAGGGGCGCGTGTCTGTTTAACTTTCTCACCGCGCGCAGGTTGCAGGCCGGGCCTTGCGCAGCCTTGCGGCCGTCCTGCGGGAGAGACACGCGGACAGACAGACAGGCGGACGGACGGACGGGTAGGCAGCCTCATCACGTCCCCGGCAGGGCTGGCAGGGCCGGCAGCAGGCAGCCATCCTGGCCGTGGGATGAAGATGCTGCCGAAATTAAGTTAATGCGCGAGGACACCCTGCCTCCCCCCTCCCCCTTTCTCTTCCGTTCGTTGGCACGAGGGCCTTCGCGAGGCCGGCGGTGTCTGCCGCTGCCGCTGCTGGAGCTAATGACGGGGTGACCGACCGATCCGCTCCACCGCGTCCCCGTCGGTCCCCGGACCGGGGTTTACTCGGGGTTCACTCGGGGTTTGCTCGGGGGTTGGCGGGGCTTCCCTCGGCCTCGGACGCGACGCAAGCCTCCTTCAAAGCGAGCGTTAATGAGACCAAATGAGCCAACCTGTGTGGTTTGCTCAGGCGATCGACCGGCCTGCTCCCTCACACACACACTGACGGACACACACACACACAAACAAACACACGCAGAGCATACCGCAGGGCCGCGACAACAAAACACAGTGCTACAAGCGTGCTCAAACACACACTGCGCACTTGGTATTACACACACACACGCACACGCGCGCGCGCGCACACACACCACACACACACACACACACACACACACACATCGGATGCGGGCTGCTGCGTTTGGCGGGTGTGGCTGTGCCCGGCGTTAGCAGTGGACCAGAAAGGCTAAACGGGCCAAAGGGCCAAACGAAAAAGGAAAAAGGCTTGTCGGTCCACTGGGTGGAAAATGCGCGAGAATAGCCCGCCATATTGGCGAGCGTCGCGCGCACCGTTATAAAAGACGCACAAATGAGTGACCCGTCAGAAAGAGGAGATTTTGGGTCTCTTTTTAGGTCAGCGGTGCTCTCGGAACGTCGGTCTGGAATCGCCCCAGTGCCATACAAACGAATAAACATGCAAAAGAAAAAGAAAAAATGGTGGAAATGGAAAAGAAAAGCAGACCTTGGCGATTTAGACACGCCGGCAGACGACACTGCGATCCGGGGACGGAAACGAGCCTTCTGTGGGAACAAGTGCAACAACAACAACAACAAACAAAGTTGTCTTGAAATCCAGGAGGGCGCGCAGCAGCCAGCGCAGTTTGCTATTGCGCTGCTCACCACACCAGCCACGCCAGCCACGGTGGGCCCCGGTTGTTAGTTGCGCCCCCCGCGGCCCCTCGCGGCCCCTCGCCCTCCGTCCACCCCTCTGGAGGGGTCTTCAATTTTACGCTCCAGTCTGCACAATCCTGCAGGAAACATGAGCTAGCACATTGCGCGCCCGCCCCCTCCCCCCTCCCCCTCTGTACAAGCGCCGCTGCTGCTGGTGTCTGTGTTCCATTAATGACCCCTCCCCCTCCCTCCACAGCGCGCTCCCTTTTTATTGCAATTTGACAACGTTTCCTCCCCTGCTCGCTGTTTTCGCGCGCCAAAGTGACCGTTCTCTAACATTAACGAGTTTTTCACTTGTTTCGTGATTTTTTTTTCCGTTTTTTTTTTCGCTTTTGTTTTGCGTCAGGCGAGACGACTGCCCTGCCGACCTGGTTTCAGTTGGTTCCAGAGGTTCCAGTGGCGGCACCGTGGCCGTGCAGGCCAGCATTACCACCACACCGTCGACCAGACAGGTCCGGTGGGCCGCCCCGCCGCCACTGCCACTCCATGGAGAGACAAGGGAAAAAGGCGAGCAGCAGACTCTGTCTCTCTCGCACTCATGGGGCGTCCCGTGTAGGTGCGAGAGAGACAGAGTGAATGAGAGTGCGGTACCGGTCGAGGCGAGGAGGCCAGCAAATAAACGGGTCGGCGCGGCCGCGGGGCACCGTCCGTTCTGCATCCACCCGCTACGCGCGCTACGCCGTGGACGCCATGGCCGGGACTGCATGGCCGGGACGGCCCGCCAAAGGCGGCCAAAGCCAAAGGCAGAAACAACGACAACAAAGAGGGCCTCCCAGCGGAAAAGAAAGGAAAGAAGAAAAGAAAACAGCCCACGGCAAGAGGATTATTGAATCACAGGGAAATGAGAGTTGAATCGTGAGAAACGAGGAGGGCTAATGAAAAGGCCCGGGATTTACACGGGTGCGATTTTGATTGAATTTGAGAGTTTCGGTGTGGTATATTGAATGAGAAAGTGACATTGGTTCGACGACTCTATTCCATTCCACGGCCCTGACAGAAGCGCGGAATCTCGAAAAAGAAATCGGTAAAGCGAAGTACATGACAATTTCGCCGGGGGAGGAAGCATTCGACTTGACTCCCCCACCCCCTTCCCCTCCGGCACTCCCCCACACGTCTTAACCCCTTACTCGGAACGCGGGCACCCTTCGCCCTCCGCCCTCTCAGGGCCGGCAGGGCGGCCACAAGCAAAGCGAAAAAGAAATAAGGGCGAGGAGGACGAGGGAGACCAACAGGAGCGGCGGCGGGGAGGGAAAAGGAATGATGAAAAACATGTTGAGGGCCAGTGAATGCCTGCCGGGCCGGGCGGGCCGCGCTGACGGATGAGAGAGATGGATGATGGGGGGACAGAGATTCCGTATTGAGTGGCGTGGAGAGCGCGGAGAGCGCGGAGAGGGCATTAGGGCGGCCCACTAGCCCCAGGCAGCACCGCCCGGCCGCCACGTACACCAGCAAATCCACCGAGAAGCCCAGGATTAAACCGGGCCCGGCTATTAAAGTCGCGTTCGTGTTTTGTCCACATTTCCAGCACAAGCTGGCTGATTCCGAGATTCGTTATCTTCGCTCTGTCTCACTTGCACTCATGTGGCGTCCCGTATGGGTGCGAGAGAGACAAAGAGTCGAAAGCGACTCTCGGAGTCAGTCTGCTGGATTCCCCTGTGCGTGGAACTGGAAATCCTCTCCGGCTACTTTCGGACCTACGCGGCGCGGCGGCCATCCTTCTGGTCGATGGCGGCGTGGGGCGGCGCACAGTGTGGCGTCCACGTCACGGGCGTGTGCGTGCGCGTGACACACGGCCGACCTGTGGAGCACGGGCGAGCATGGGGCGGTGCGGGCCAGCGCGACGAAAATTGAGCCGGCCGCCTCAAACACCAGCAAACACCCCCCGCGGCCAGTGGCATTATCCCGCGCGGCCTTCCTGCGTGCGAGCACGTCGAGGGCGTCGAGAACGACGAGGACGACGAGCACGACGAGGACGACGTCGAGGACGCCGAGGACGCCGTGGACGACAAGGACGCCGAGGACACCGAGGCCCCTACCTGTCCACGTCCACTAATTACCCCACCCACTAATTGTTGTGGGGTGAGCCTTGCCGTGACTTGCCTTGCCGCGCCACACGGGCCCCACGCTGAGGGCCCCGGAGGGCCCCACTAGCGCTGCAGAGAGACGAGGCACCGCCAACGTCTCAACTTTCATCACGCCCCAGTCTTTAGAAATCACTTTCGAGCGAGACAAGCGCGGCCCACTGGAAGCTGCAGTTTAATTTGGCATCTCCGTGCGCGGAACACGGCCCGTCGGCCTCACTTTCCCTCGCGCGGACTACACTGTGGGGGAAGGGCCGAGGAAGAGGCGCGGCGCCAGTCAAGATTACGAGCACGACGGCGGCAAGGCCTGCCCGACCATCCGTTTACCCAAGGCAGGCGACGAGGCGTCGCACATGGACTTGAAACGTATCGCGATCACTGAGACCGCGCACGCACACACACGCAATCAGACACACACGCGAGAAAAGTTTGCTCATCAGCGTCGTCGTCGGCGTCCTCGTTCGACAGGACGTGACAACACGGCGAGGGCGGCTCGGCTTCTCTCTCGCCTCAAAAACGAGGCCGCCGAAGGACCGAAGGACCGAAGGGGGGCAGGCGGGCGGGAAGGCCAGGCCGGGGCGTTGACTCTGAGGGGGAGGGCGGTCGATGGAGTGCCTATTCCCACAGGACGTGATCCACACCGCGCTCATTAAGGCGATGTGCAGGAACACAAGGTCGCCCACGGCATCCCGTCGCCGCCACGCCCTAGCGAGCCCCGCGCTCGCCCGCGCTGCTCGAACGTCGAAAACGAAAAGAGCAACAACACCGTGCTTCTCCTGTTATGGCCCGCCGGGCTGCGCGTCGAGCGCGGAAGCGTGCGCGCTGCGCGCGTTCACAGACGTTGTTTGTTTTGGTCGCTGCGCGCTTCCATTTTCCCGCCACGGCGCCGGGCGGCCGGGACGCCTGCAGCACCCTGCAACGCCCCCCGGGGCCCGGCAAGGCAGGTGTGGGCTCGGGGAGGGGCGCGGCGCGGCGGAAGGGGCCCTACATGCCAGAACGAAATTCCAGGAAATGAAGGCTACCCCCTGCAGCGCGCCCAGGAAAACACGAGTACGACGGTGCCTCCGGTGCCTGGTTTGTTGCGGTGCTTGCTGGTACAGTACCCGCCAGCACAGCCTCGAAATCCTCGGCCCGCGTGTGACGTGGAGGGAGCGTCGACGAACCAACGCTCATCCCATCTTTAGTTCCTCCTAGCCTAACCCAAGTCAGTACTCAGTCAAAATTGCGACGTGTCCGGTTGAAAAGGGGGAGGGGGAGGATAGGCTCTTAAAAGCGTCCTTTATTGGTGGGAAAGGGAGAAAGACGGAGCGAAAAATTCCCCGCTTGCCGATTATTGCTCGCGGCGTGCAGACCGCGACGCATTCCTCCAGCCTTTGCTTTCCCCGCGGCTCATCGCCTTCATCACCAGTTGGAGAGAGCGAAAAAAGAGGGAGAGGGGGGAGGACGAGGAGAGAAGGAGAGAGAGTGCGATTTGTCGAGAACGCTGCCAAGCGGCTGAGACGCGCAGGCCCGAGGCCCGGCCAGGTCGCACCACCATCAGCATTCCGGCCTCATCAGCCTCCTCCAGGAATGCGTGGCGAGGCGTGTCCTCCGCATCCTCGTCCTCGCGAGGCTCGACGGCGACGGCGTCCCCGCGGCGTCCCTGCGTCTTCGGCGAGGTGCACATCACGTGTTTGGGGCTTTACCCGTTGTGAGCACGGCCCGGCCCGCTCGAGCGGGGAGGCTGGGTTTGTCATCGCCGAGCGCGCCAACTGTCTCATGTAAATCAGCTGCTTCGTACACCGGGTGGAGCGCGTCGGCCGAAACTCGCCAATATTATTTTTGCCGCGACGGCGAGCGCGCGCGCGGGGCTTGCAGAGTAATTAATTAATAATCGCAGCCAGATAACGGAGAACGCGCGGGGTGTTACCTTACAAAACAAAAAGTCAGCACCGTGTGTGTGCGAGACGGAGTGCGAGAATCGAGCCTGCGCGAGGTAAGCGTCTGTGTGTGGAGCAGGTTGGGGGTGGGGGAGGGGGGTATTTGTGAGGAGAGCAGGGGTGTGTGTGTGCCGTGGAGTGCGAGAGGAGCAGGCTTGTGTGAGGCGAGCTCGCCCTGCCTGCAGGGCCCTGCCTGCTTACTGCGCGCCGCCCAAGCGGTAGGCTCGTCCTCTCTCTCGCACTCGTGGGGCGTCTCGCGGCGGTGCGAGAGAGAGGGCGCGAGGATCCGCAGGCAAGGCGGGCACTCGCATTGCGGGTTTCGCTGGCTCGGCTGGCTCGGCTGCGGGGATTCCGCAGAGCTTGTTCACAGTCATAAATTACTTTTTATGGTGCAGCGCTTCTCCTTTGCACACGGAATGACGGGGCCTCTTATCTCGCGAGGAACATGTTCAGTGCCCGCGGCCCGATAGCCCACACGCCCCGCCCCGCGCGCCCCGCACCCACACTGGAAACGGTTTAGCGAGCGCCAGAGCGCACCAACTTTCCCAGCGGACTGATTAGAACCCCGTTTTTATTGTGTTGCGACACAGCTTTTTAAAAACGGCGAGGCGCATGAAAACTATTCGAAACGCCGCCCCGCGCCACGCACCCCGACTGCTCAGATAATGGAGCGATAGCGCTATCAGTCGGGCTGTTTAAATCAATAAATAACTAGCGCGCATTCCGCGCGCCGCGCCGCGGTGCAGTTCCAGTCCAGAGAGGCCCTCGCAGTGGCGGCCCTCGTGGCGTAATGCGAAACGCCAACCAAATTGGAATTTAATGCCGGCTGCCCGGCTTGTTTACCCGATTGATCTTCATGACGGATGGGCTCGCGGCCGGGGCGGGGCGGGGTGGGGCGGGGTGGGGCGGGGCGGGGTGGGGCGAGGCGGGGCGGGGCTGATTTATATCATTTCCTTTCCGAGGGTCCGCCGGTCCGCCATCGGGGTCGTGTTTGCCGAGGTTCCGCGTTCCGTGCTCCTCCGCCGCCCCAGATGGAAATGCCCTTGCCTAGCGCGGCAGCTCGGTGTAGAGCCTGGCGGGGTGCGGCAGTGTGCCTCCTCTCCAGCCCCAAGCGCGGACCCCAGGCTGCTAATCCAGAGGGAAGGCCAGGGTGTCCCGGCCAGTCGGCTTGGTCAAGGTCAAGGCCATTAAGGTGCAATGGCGCCTCGAAAAAAAAGCAACACGAAGAACGGACACCAAAATGCACGCGCGAGTGAGTGTTAATGTAGTTATTAGCGTGTTTTATGGTTCGCAGGAGTTGATATTTGTTCTGATCGGCGTGTTATGTGGTACTCGTGATTGGCGTTTAGGAAGGGAGTTAACCACACAGCCTCGGCTACAGGCTACACTGGGAGGACAAAACAAGTACGGAGCAAGTCTGGGCAACAATTTGTCTGGACTTGCTAACAACGGAAGTTCCGTACTTGTTTTCCTCTTGACCCAAGCCATTTCAAGACAAGTTACACGACTTCACTGGGAAACGCAAGCACGGACGTTTCGTACTTTTTTCCCCGTCGTCGTGCGCCTCCAACTCCATTCCTCTGTACGTTTCTCGTTACAAAAGTACGGCATTTTTTTTTTAAAAAAAAGAAAGAAAAACAAAGTGTGGTTGGACTCACCTGTGCACCACGTGCATGACCTGCAGGTAGTCCAGGGCCAGGGCCAGCTCGCAGATGTAGAGCTTGACGCACTCCTCGGAGAAGGGCACGTCGTGCATCACGTGGTAGCGCAGGTCGCCGCCGAGCAGCAGGTCCGACACGATGAACAAGTCCTCTTCGTCTGCAACACACACCGCCTCCCTTTTATTCTCCCGCCGCTAACGAGGTGCTCATTTGGCACGAGGAAAATTAAGCTTTGCCAGCCTTATCGTTATGTGCGGCACTTTATTTAAAAGGCCCTCGACGAAAAAAAACACGACGATCGCGCACCGCCGCGTCGCGTCCCCCGGGGCCGCGCCAGGGGCACCCAGAGGCAGGGCCGAGGGTCGAGGGCCACCCTTATTGCTGAGTTCAAAGGGAGCGTCCCCTACACTCTCCAGGTAGTTAATTACCCCGTAATGAGGCCATTCGTTTCGCTAATCTAACGCAGAGGACTGGGCCGCCTAGGAGCAGGACAAGGCCCACTCCTCCGCCCGGCCGCCGTCGTCGGCCACCGTCTTGCCCAGCGTCTCGCCGCCACCATCCGCTGTTGAAAAATGTCGACGCTAGTTTCAGCACGCCCCCACGCTCACTGCCCGACGGGGGGGCTGCTGGTGGGATTTCCTTCCGCGGCCGAACAACAACAACAACAACAATAGAAACTCAGCAGGCCGCCGGAAAGACGCGGAAAGCCGCCCGCTGGGCGCTGCCACTTCCCGCTTCTCGGATATTGGCTCGCCGAAAAGTGGATGTGGCATTGGCCGGCATTGCCGCACCTGCCACAACGCCGTGTTCCTGATTGATGCCCCCTCCCACTCCCACCTCCTTTCTTTCTCCGCCCCCAACAACAAACACCCCTGCTGGCGGCCCGGCGGCCTGGCGGCGCGCCCCAGGTGGGGGTCCGGCACAACGCCACGTAGGAAATTGAAGCATGAGACAATTTCCCCCGAAGACCGACGGGCCCAAAGTTTCATCACTTTCCCCAACGCTTTTGTCGGTTGCCGGCGCAGGGTTCGAGCGAAGGCTACGCGAGGGTCCGTCCGAGCATGCGGCTCCCCCGTCTAAGCCTCCCCCTCCCCCGCCGCTCCGCCGCTCCGCCGCCGCCCGGCCCGCTAAGCCGCACCGTAGCTCATTTAATCATTTGGCGGAAGTACCCGCTCCACCGCCCCCCAAAAGTTGGCCGTCGGCAATAAGAAAGGGCAGCAGGGCGAGCGGCGAAGTTTGCGTTCTGTCGAAGGTTTCCACTGGTCGCTGCGGATGAGCCGGAAGAGCGCGCCCCTTCGCTGCCGCGATGCTGGTTGGCTGGTGCGTGCGTCACGCCGGAGTGGGCGTCGTTGTCTGGTGCGTGGCTACGCCATGCTACGCCACTGTACGCCACGCTAGACCTGTTGATCTAATGCTGGACCTGTTGATAGGCACTGCCTGGCTCCGCGCCCGCCCCGCCCCCGCCCCGCTGGCACGCAACGCACCACGGCCCGCCGAGCGCGCCGAGCGCGCCGAGCGCGCCGAGCGCGCCGAGCGCGCCAAGCGAACGGACGGATTGAAACAAAGTTGCGGCGGACAATGTTTCGCTTGCCTGCCGATGCGTGGCGCCGTGGCGCAGCGTGCCGCTGGGGCATCCGAGCCATCCCAGGCGCAAAGTTTGCTTTCGCGCCAGTTCGGCCCTGCAGCTGATGCCCCGGCCGGCTGCTGAGCAGAAGAGCGCCGTTAACGCGAGGGAAAGTCCGCGGAATAAGTTTCAGCGATCGTAATGACTGAAACTGGAACCGCCTCCAGGCTGGAGGCTCCAGTGAGCTTCCACAGCCAGGCTGCCAGTGTGCCAGGCTCCAGCGAGCCCCGGTCGGGCCACAGCTGGCTCGGCCTGCACCGCGCAGCCTGTCCAGACGTCACCCTCCCCGTCTCTCTCCCTCGCGGCCAAATGATGAATTGCCGCCCCCAGCGGATGACGGACAGGGAAAAAACAACAGCAAATGAAGCATCAAATAACACGCAAAGTGCGTCCCAGTCATTATAACCCCTCACAACTCCTGACACTTTATCCACCGCCCCGTCCGTCCCCCTCTCCCAACTTTTGTCAATTTCATTATTACCAAGTCAATCAGAAACTTTTTCATCTTTTTTGCAGAAAGAAATAAAGCAAATGATTCGATTTCGCGGGCCGTCGTGTCCTCTTGCAGCTTTCTTTAGGTGACGTTTAATTTACAAGGCAAAGAGTGATTTAAGGGGCTCATCAGGGCGAGGAGGACTGTTCGACGAGTCTGACACGTCAAACGTTGCACGGGAGACGTGCACCCACCGCCCTCGTTTTTCCACAAGCCGTGTACCCAAACAATGGCAACACATTTGTCCACCTCATTTCATCGTTTCATTGTTTTTGCCGGTTTTTGCTGCCGATTCAGAAATTATTACTTTGTGAACTGTTTGGACACGTTGTTTGCCCGCCGGCCGGGTGGTTGAGGTCTCTATCAAAATGGGCGGCGCGAAAGGCGCAAAAAGGGTAAAAAGCGAGCGGCGCTTGTCGGCGTCACCCGGCGACGCTCGCATCGTTCCGCCTCATTTTTCATCCCCCGCAGGGGGAGGGGGGCAGTTCTCCCCCTCGCTGCGGCGGTGTGGCGGCGGCGAGAATGCCCCGGCCGCTCTTTTGTTGCCTTTTGTTGGCCGTTGAAAGAAACGGACGGCGCTGGCCGATGGCTGCCGATGGCTGAGCCGAACGCGCCAATTAGCTCGCGAGTTGCAATTACCGGCCGTGGGGCCGTCGGGGCGTGGCCGGGGCGTGGCTGCGGCCTGGAGAATGGGACTGCCAGCGCCGGGCTTTAGTCACAGCCCCGAAGGTGCCCGAAGGCTGCCCAGGGCTGCCCAAGGCCCCAAAACAACACAATTCCTCTCCCCCTCCCTTCCCAAGGCATTTCTCCTCTCCGCGTATCCGCGACGCCCCCCCCCCCCAGCCGCCCCCATTGTTCGGCACGGCGTTGACACGGCGACGGGGCCGCGCTCGCCGCGCTGCGGGTTTTCCGAACTAGGCGACTCGGCAAAACAACAAAGGAGCGGCAGATAAAAAGGAACCGGAATGGAGTGGTGAAATAGCCTTGGCCAGCCCGCGCAGCCCGCGCCAGTCGAACCGGTTCATGCCGGGGGTAGCGCGGCACACCCATGGACGGCCCCGGCAAGGTGCGTCACTCCCACCGCGACGCCTGCCGAGCGAGACGGACTGAGAGAGAGAGGCACTGGCGATGATTTCGCGTCCTCCGTTCTGGCGGCGTCGGCGGCGTCCCCTCGCTGGACGGTTCATTGGCCCGGCAGAATAAATATTGAGACGCCCCGCTGCCGCCGAGCCGGCCTTACAGACCCTCAATCATATGCAAATCGAATACTACGGCCGGCGGCGGCGGGGGCAGCGGGGGCTGAAAGAGGCCGAGGGCCGCTCATGAAGGGCCTGCCCGCCGAGCACGCCGAGCACGCCGAGCACCACAAGGTCGCCGTCCTCGTCCTCCCGCAGTGCTGCCACTGCCCCACACGCAGCGGGGCACGTCGCCAGCGCCGCCAGCGCCCCGGGCCCAGATCGCATTCCTAGAATGAGTGAGCACTGGCAGCCTCCTCCAGGACGACCTCCAGGACGGCTGCTGTCTCGGGGGCTAGATTAGTGCAGCAGATCGCACCGACGACCGCGAGCAACAGTTGGCGCTGGCCGCGGCCGCCAAGGCCCAGTGCGTACTCCCAACGAGCTTGGTCAGCGCAGGACCGCCGCCACTCCCCGTGACTGTCGCCGCGATGGGGGTCGCCGCGACGGGGGGCGGCCCGCGACGCAGCAGGGTGCAGGACAGCCCCGCGCCGCCCCCGACGCCGCCCCCCGCGCCACCCCTGCGCGGGCCCCAGCTGCTGCCAGCGAGGTGAGCACTGAGCAGCCGGCGGCTGTTAGGCCGCGGGGCTGTTAACGTTACTGCTGGCGTCGTTTCGCAACCGCCAACTGCGGCGCCAAGTTACCGGGCGCCTCATCGTGGGTCACTAACTTCAGCCGGCGTCTCCCCGCACCGCGCCGCGACGCCACGCCGCCACGCCGCGCACCGCCAAATGGTTCACCAGCCACCGCTCCCCGCAGGTGACGACGCCGGACTCGTCCCTGGCCGACGTGGACTCGGGCAGTGTGGTGGCCGCGGCCTCGGCGCGCAGTACCGGTGCCCCCGCGGCCTCGGCCCTGGCCTGGCGGCGTCCTCGGCCCGAGCGCGACGACGGCCGCGACGAGGCCAAGGCCGTGCAGACGAAGCAGGTACTGGTGTTGCCGCCGCCGCCCGAACGCGGATCGCATTTTTCGCCGGCCCCGACGCTTATTCAAATGAGGGCACTGCCTGTCACTGGCGAGGCGAGGCGAGGCGCGACGGGCGCGACGCGCAGGCTTGACTAAGAAATATTGCCTGGAAGGCGACGAGGAGAGCCGGGCGAAATAATTAAAAGAAGAGCTCTTGCAGGCTTTAATTAACCCCCAGGACAACTTGCCGGTTCGACCAGCGCCAGGGCCGCCATCATTCTTCCGCGCGGTGGCGGGGCGTGGCGGAGCGCGGCGGCGCGCGGAACCCACCTATTGAATCTCACTTGAGTAGAGCACCTCCTCCAACGGGAGAAACTTCGCTGCGGGAGGAGGCCGCCCGTTACAGAGAGCTTGCAGCGTGCGCCTGATTTGTCACAGTGGAGTTGTTGAAACCGCCATACGCCTCGCCTCGCGCTCCGCCGCTCGGGCGCTCCGGTGCCACTCTCCGACTCGGGGCCCCGCCGCCCACTTTTAAAAACTTTTCCTACAATTTGCGCGGCGCCGCCGGCAGCGCTGCCCGCCCGACTAACTGCTCTCTCCTGCAAGTCCCCGAGTCCCGGCCTGGAAGACGGAGATGCCCTTGGCCACCGCGGCCACCAGTCTCTGTCTCCCTCGCGCCACTTTGGCCGACCGAACGCGACCAGAGCGAGCAGGACGACGCGACCTTGCCGTCGGCATGCCGACACCACAACGTGCAGGCCGCGGCCGCGCGACACTTAAACGCTCGTTCTTTTGTCGCGTTTTCACGCCCCGCCGTGCCGCCCCGGCATGTCGCCGCGCTGTCTCTCTCGCACCCCCGCGGCTCGCCCCGTGAGTGCGACGGCGACAGAGCGACGAGA